CCCCACAGCTCAAGATGCGTTATTAAGAATATATTTTGCTATTTGTTGTGGGAAAATGAAAGGGCTTTGACAGAAAATTCCTCTCTAAATCTTCACAAGCTGGGGATAGGATTCAGGGGAGGGAGGGTGAAGCGAGGTCAGGCACTTAACCTCAGCATGAGGTGGTAAAGGAATGGACTTCATACCTTCACAAATGAAAAGGCTAGTAGTGTAGCTAGTAGTAGGTCATAATTTATGATTAATGAAAGGTTAAGAAGCGGTCATTTATCTGACCCTGTAATCGCAACGTGGGTTCAACACGGGAGTCAAAACGAGACATCTCAAAGGAGTGATTAAATATTTTAAAAAGGTCAGTAAATGATGGCAGTGATCTGAACATTTATAACCTTTGCTTTGAGGGTCAACAAGCCCAAAAAGTTGGTAACCCTTGCTTTGATGCATTCCACCTCTTTACTGTCGCTGTCAAATGTATTCAAATATTGCCAGAAAGGATACAACAAAGGAAAGAAAAGACCATGGTCCGGGTAAAAATATGCAAATTACACTCAAGTACTTAATTTAAAATAAGTCCACACAGATTTTTGGTTATAAACGGGAGACGAACAGTGGTCTCCTTGGTTAAAGCCCCATGTTTGGCCCAACGACCCATCAACACATCCACCCCAACCTCTTGATTGTCATTTAAAAAATGTTATTCAAAATGATTTCTACTAAAAATGGGAATTTGTTCTATAATAACGTACCGCCACAACGTAATGCGGTGTTAAGATGTCGTATCCATTTCACGTCTTTCTTTGAGATCAGCTTGAGAATGGATAACTTAACTGGCTGTGAAATGCATGAGGGATGTATTGCAGTTATCCTATCATCCTCATTCATGACTCTTCTCTGTAAGAAGACCTCTACCTTGTCAATGTATCTTTGGGTCTGCGCTGAAGAGACTGTGTAAGCATATGCCCCGCTTCGCATTCCTCTGCCATCCAACCTCTGTCCAGCCTGGACTTTCCCACAGAACCCTAAACCCTGTGAATGAGAGTAGGCCTTTGTTTCAGGCATTTTTCATCCTGATCCCAGCAACTTCCCCATGGTGGAATGCAACAGGAATGCCAGAGCCAGCTACCTGGCATTAGAGAGTCTTTGTGCGGAAATAGGAGAAGCTGAAGGAGAGAGCAGGTCAAAGAGGTTTGACAATGGATAGCTCACTTCTCAAGGTGCCCAGCCCACATTACAGAGCGAGTGAACAGCACAACCCGGGTCAAGTCTCCTGAACATGGCAAGGTGCACCAAGGAGAAAATAATAAATGGCATTGTTTGTAACCGGGCCAGTTTCGCTATGAGATCTCCTCCTGTCCGTTTTTTTCTCCTAGTGTACAAATCATTAACTGGAGCGCTGATGTAGCAACTGATTGGCATGCATGCACAAGCACAGCTGAAATGTGTGTCAGCAGCAGTTAACAGGTTGTTATGAGCTTATCACTAGCTGAGAGCTGGAACGGTGAGGCAGCGGTTCGCCTCAAGGTGCAATTCCATTCATTCTTGGTTGGGGAGAGACCAGAGGAGGAGTATTTTTAATTTGTGGGATGCCATGCGAGAAGAGGATTTATTATGATAATATCTGGTGAGGTTTCACATGTCACAACAAGAGGTATTTTAAGTGACATTCAATTGATGCATCACATGCATAAGCAAAAATGCAGCCTGGTCTTCTAAAATTAGGTTCCCATACATTGAAACTCAAGATTCAAAATTGAAAGGTTTTATTGTCATATGCACAAAGCTACAGTGTAGAAATGGCAATGAAATTCTTCTGACCTGAGCTCCAATATAATAAAATACCAAAATACAAAATAAAAAGTAGTGCAAAAAGTAATGTAAACAGAATATGATATGTACAAGAACCGAATATGAAATTAAATAATGTAAATTAAGACAAAATTAAATACAGAAACGGCATTGTTGATTACGATAGAAACCTTTGTGCAGGATAATGTTGGTTTTTGACATGTCACAACGTTTCCAATCAAGGTAAGCGGAGGTACCATATGGAAGAGGTTGAAGCGTGAAAAGATTACCCAAACAAACTCAGGAGCCGAACCTCCTGTGGTATCCAGTGGAGGGACTAACACTGTGGAGGTGCACAAACATGGTGGCGTACATGTCAGAGCAGGAGCTTTGTGTGACAGACAGTTACCTGGGCCCCGTCAGCAAAGCCATTTCCCCTGAAACCTGAGCAGCCCGGCTTCTGAGACGGCGGCTGATCTTCTCTGGATCCTGAGTCTGATGATAAGGAGCTGAGATAAGGTGCTAACTGAAGGGCAACGACAGGGCTATGGAGACAAGGGTGGGGCATCAGGTCATATATCCCTGCATGTCATGACCACAATTATCAGGGGGCCTCCTTCCACCTCCTGTGAGAACCAACATCTGTAACATGCCGTCTTGTATGGAGGTATACTTCATGATAAACCTGGAAAAATTGACTGAATATGTATTATTAGCCACTAGTCTTTTGAGTTAACCAACATCAGAGACATTGGGTACAAACCAAACCGGACTACATTTCATCCATGCTGTTTTATTTATGTTCCCCTATAGCAGTTTGACTGTTCGACATCCCTTCTTCCTAGAAAACTCAGCAGATGTTATATTTATTGCTCTCAGACTGCCAAGATTCTCTGGGAGGACAACTGAACATGTGAAGAGAGGAAAACTCTGTGTTGACCAGACTCCCGTTCTCCTGACAGAGAGGACATTTTATGAACTCACTGGGGTACGATAAGGCTTCGTTCCTCGATACGACAACTCATACTACAAATTCCAGTGAAATCAGCACAGTATAGCCACATACCAATGCCAAGGGAAGCCATTTTTAAATTAGAGGTGAGTGTCACAGTTCACAAATCAATGAGGACAAACATTCCAACATGGCTATAATTTGGAATGTTGTTAAAGGATTTTCTTTTGATGAAGAAATATGTGGATACATGTTCAAGGCCTATGCTCCTTTATCTGATTTACCACTTTTTTTTTTAATGAAATGAAATATCTAAGTCATGCAAAAGACATTTGCCTTCAGTTCTTGTTTTCTATTTACAAAAGCAGACTTCACCATGGTCACAGGCCTGGACTTTGAACACGGAAAGAGCAAAAGAGAATAATTTCCTACATTTGAAAGCTTATTATGTAACTACAGGATCGCTGTGTGAGCTTGCCTCCCCTGAAGCATCCAGAACGTTGCTGTTGGAAAGATCATACCGGATTAAAGCAGACAAGAGGTGTTCAGAAAGGGTCTGGGTTTGGACACATGGAGGAAACATCTTACAGTCAGCATTTATGCAGTATGCAAATAAAACAGGCAAAAACAGCCACCATTCACAAACTCCGTCCTGAGAAGAAAAAGGGAACTGCGTGGAGACGTGCATGAATGACTTCCTTTTTGAGGCTTTAAAAATAAAACCAGAAGATGACAACGGTAAACTATGACTATGAACGAAACAAACAGCCTTGACTCTTCCCTTATTGCCTAAATGCAGTAACCTGTTTAATCTTATCCTCATACTACCAGCGCAGAATCACAAGTTGAAAATAATTTGATAGTCGCTGTTGGTAAAAGTTTAAACAACTACAAACTCTTTACAGTTTGGAAGTTATAAATGCAGTTTGAATGATTGAAAGCCATTTTGTCACCATTAAGATATCAATGTCAAGCTGAAGGTGGTTGATTTAGACATTTGACCTAAAGAAACTTTTATTTTTTAAGGAAAGTGAGGATATTAGGTTTATGTATTCCTGATAAACCTTGAATATTACCATATTTTAAGAAATATAACACCATGTTGCTCTGTGAGGCTGTACTTAGACACTGTGGGGCTTCGAGCTCAACGCTAATGCTAACATATTCACAATCTTAGCTAACTGGCTAACATAATTAGGCCTAGATATAACAAAGTAGAGCTGAAGTTTAGGTATCAAAACAGTCCAAATTCACTTTGCCTTTGTATGACTAAACAGCATGAGGGCTTTTCGAGTGACATGAAATTAGATTATTGATGATTGTTATCAAATAAACAGTCATTCTTGCTGGCTACATAAAAACTCAGACACAGGCATTTATCTGAGTCTGTAAAATCCTCCACCCACAAAAAAGGGAAACTTTAAGAGTGGTTCTCAAATTCCATTTTCTCCTCAATGCATCACAGTGGTGTCCTCACCTAGTAACTAGTAAACACACATCAACAATGATGAAAAAGCATTAATGAACCTCAATATGTTCTCCAAAAGAAAACAGTTTAAGTGTTGCCACACTGCAATGCCTGAGGGGAATCATTATGGCCTACGATTCTATCTGCCTCCGTTTATTGATTTATCAAGTCAATCACTATCACTGCTGGCAAGATGTTTTGCCAAAGAAATACAACATAAGGTGTCCTTGGCTAACACCTGATCAAGATAAAGAGCGAAAGCTAAATTGCAGAGATTATGATCTGCTATAAAGTGTCTGAGTAACCGCATCCAGGGGCCAGAGCTCAACCTCAAACAATGAAGACAAAGACCTCAGGCATGTGACACGTGCATGGAAAGAAACAAAGATGTCCAGACGTTAACTCAGACTTCATCCTGGGCCGTGCTGCCTGTGTCATGCTGTCGTATTGTTAGCTTGATTTTGTGGTCAATGTCAGGGTGGTGCCCGACAGGTGTTCGTCTAACACCTACGTGACACATGGTATATACGTTATGAATTATTAATTAAAACCCTACAAAGAGAAGAATCACTTTTATTGTGTTGTTGTCGCTTTGTTTCTTCTAGAATTACTTTTCAAAATCAGTCTGGACAATAGAGGTGCATAAACCAAATGTGCCTTTAATACTAAGACCGAATCTAAAAGGGTGGTGTTTAATAACTAATCCACATTATATAGAGACACATATTGTACTTTTTACTCCACTAGATGTGCATATTCAGATAGTTGGCAGATTTATATAATCCAGTACATGTATTCTATAGTTGAAATCAAAGTTTTTTAATGACATACACTTCCACCAGTACCTATAACATCACTATGCTGCTAACACATTAGCAATGACAATCCCACATAGGTGAACTCAGTTGAAAGTACACAAGTATTATCAGCAAAATGCACAAAAAGCAGACTCAACATGCACAATGGCTCCTTCCTTATATTATCATAATGTGTTATCTACCTGGCAATATGTCTGCCATATGATGCTAAGCAGGAAATCTTTCATTGGATACATGTTCTGCAATCTAAACAACAGTAGGATCACCAAAAAAAATACATTGATTATATCAGCTTTTATTAAATGATCTGAGCCTGTCGTCTAGATAATTGAAATGCTTTTGATTGTAAATACATCCACATCGCAATACTTCTCAATATGTGTCAACAAGTATTCCATTGTCAGCTTCCCATTTAAGCAAAGTCAGATAAAACAATCTTTATGTGACACTGACTCAATCAAGACACATAATTTAAACCTCTAGCCCTGGTCTTTTAAGATGCCCCCTATATAGAAAGCGGCGCCACACAGCAGCGAGATGACTAAGCATGAGGCCTGCTGCCTGTGGCACTGTGCAGACATGTTCCATTCTGTCAAAGCTCCACAGCACATAGGCACCATTTCACACGGTCCCCCGACTCTTGGCGAAGCGAGTGGGAACTTTAGAGGCTCTGCTGAAAGCCTATACCGAGCATTTTAGCACTGATGTAATTGCAGTTTTAACCCTTTTTTTAACTGCAAGACACATTCAGAACAGGCATTATTAAATTGCATTAAAGTGCATTCATTTTGAGCCCAGGTAGTGATAGAAGTGCTGATGTTGATGCATCAATAAGATAATTTAATTGAGTCATCAAATCAGCTTTTGTATAAGAAGTTATAGACCCTACAAGTAGTGAGAAAATGAAATTTCAAAATGAGATTCTGAAGGAGATTTAATATTGTTGTTTTTGGCAGTCCAAACGAGAAAAAGAAATGACTTCACTGTGCTTAATGGGTGACTCATATATCATACAGCAGTGTCAGGAAAATTAACACTGACTCCAATAGCAGGTATTTCCCCCATAACAGTGAATATCTAAGCTAAGCATTTTTTCAAACCAACCCTCCCCATATCATAGAGTGTGTTTACAGTGTGTGTGGTCTCGGGATGGAAAACCCCATCAATGTGTTGAGTCTTCAACTCCACCTGCTGGTGTTCAGCACAAATTACTGTCAGAAATGTATTATCTCAGAATAAACCTGTTGAGATATTGATGACAAAGAACATATGATTACAGGTAACCCTTATCCAAGAAAACCATAAAAGCTTTTTTACCAACTTCTTTAAATACAAAGACTCCTTTGACGAAGTACAGTCTAACTTAGCAAGAAACATCATTAAATATTAATCAATTTACCATTTATAATAACATCTAAAAAGTCCCATAAATTAAATAAAGCAAATTAGCATATATATTCTATATATTTCCTATAGTATCCATTTTGATCCAAAATTGCACCATGAACCCAGGTCAAATTCATCCACGTCAATCCACTCAGCCGGAGAGTTGTGGTTGTTGTACCTCTTCTTTTGAACCTCTTCTGTACATTAACATGTAGGCTGTGCCTCTGTGAAAATAACAGCATTAAACATTTGAACACAGAAATGTAGAAATCAAAGTTATGCTCCTACAAGTTAGGGAAGTAAAGGGATAAAATGACCAAATTACAGTACACTTAAAGAGAATTAGAAGTAAAAATATAACTACAGTGTTGGACAAAAAGCTTTTGAAGACAAGACAATATGACAGACAAGACAGATTTCCTCTGTTTGTGGGTTCAAAAGTCTGAAAGCCCCCATCGCAATAAACAAGACCCCCTTTAGTGTTTGATTTTCACCGAGGAACAGACAATAAGGCTTTGTCTTAAGATCAAAAGCGATTTCCGCAAGTAGGAAGATAAAAGCTGCATGATGGAAGTGGGATTCAAGCAAGGCTTTAAATGTTATTTATAAAAATCCTTAACTCTGAAAACAACTGGAGGTTGGTTTAAGCAAGCTTAAATGGGGGTCACATGTTGTTTTGTTGCCATGCCATTTTTGCCATTGTTTGCTGTAATCTAAATGTTTTGAAGGTGAGAGACCATTTTTTAGACGAGGCTGAACACAGGGGACCGGAGTTATTATTAAAAAATGTATTAATAGCTCTTTTGATCAAGCTAAGAAATTAATTTCAGAGCACGCCTTTCTGGCCAAATGTAACCATAAGGGGTATCACCCCCCAATTGTTGTGACCAAATAGCAGTATGCAGTTGTAAAACAACAGGTGATCTAGAACAGAGCCCTGAGGCACTTCTTGGCAATGTTAAAGTGGACCTATCTGCTATATTTGAATAATATAGTGTAGGACCATACCTATATAAGGCATATTTATACTTTTTTTTGTTCAAAATACCAAACAGATCATGCATTTTAACCATGCCTCATTTCACTCAATTTGCACTTTTCTAGCTCTGTTTTAGCAAGGGCAGATTATGTGAGAACAGCACCACCTACAGGCCTGGCATATGTACTACAGCGTCTCCAGCGCTTTCGAACGGCAATGGCCGTGGCTGTCTCCTCCTGATTGGTGGAGTTGGCCCAATAGCCGTAGCGCAACCGTCCTGACGTCAGGACAGTGTTCAAATCTGGATCAGTTTTTATCAGATAGAGATTTGGGTATGGAGGAAAATAGAGAGGGTTGTGTTTTCTGACACTTGGTGAGTTCCCTGGAACACCGGGGACACATATTCATGTATAAAAGACGTACAAAAGTGCATTTTGCATGATAGGTCCCCTTTAAGTTATGTCTTTATTCTTAGCTACAATTACCCATTATTGTAGCTAAAAAATAAAGACATAAAGATAGAGCCAGGATAGCTGTTTAATGACATGCTATGCTTATTAGTTTCAGCCTCACGTTAAGCAAATATACTGTATATAATAGTGGTATCACTCTATTGCCAAGGAAGCAATTCCCAAAATGTTAAATTATTCCCTGACTCCCTAACCCCTAATGCAATATCAAAGGTTATCAAACCTGAAAAACGTATATTGAGGAGGTTACCTGCTGTGATTTCCCCCATAGGATCTCTGCACTTCTTCCCAGGAGGCCTATGTGTTTGAATACAAAACAAATGAATGCATAAAACTGAATTATAGTGATACAAAATGCCCTTTTCAATTTCATTTTCATTTTTTTACGTAAGGTATCATGATCATTGTGCTAAACATCTCAGGGCTTTGAAACAAGGGTATACAGGGGAGCTTTTGTGTCTAATGAATTTTTTTTAACAAAGGGTCCTTCAACAAGTGCAAGCTGAAATAAGTTGCATGATTCAAGTGAGACAGATTTTGTCAGATTGAACGTACCTGATGTACGTAGCTGTCATCTGCATAGTACCAGCGCTGGCTCCCCCTGTGGCGCATGTAGGCAGTATAGTGCCCAAACGATGCATATCCAGAGTGCACTACCACTGCATGCAGTGTGTACTTGCAGTCATTCTGGAAAAATGTGTACATTTATAAAAGACAAAAGATACAATGTGCAGACTGTATTACTATTATTATTGAAATACCTGGTTAAAGTCTGAGGAGAACGCTTCCTTAACAGTCTCAGAAACGTCAATGGTTTCAGGAAAGGTAATCCTGCAGTCAAGTTTTTGGGTGTAACCATTGCTATTCCGAAACCTTTTCAGGTGAACGCTCAAGATACGAGGCAGGGAAAGTAGTTTAACACCCTGAGGAAGAAAAAACAAGTTTCACAGTTTTGTCTTGTAATTACTGGGAAGCATTTAAACCAAGTCTCACCTTTTTAGATGGAGTCTTCTTCTCACATTTTGCACAAAAGCAGCAATTTATGCCCCTTAGCTCCTGATGCTCAAAGAAGGAGGTCATGCAGCCTTCCTGAAAAGGTTTGTTTAATGAATACTTGTGAATTATGAAGTCCGACTTCACAAAAGTTAACAGCAATTGATTGACAATGAAACAGCATTAAGGAAAGTATAAATTTGCTTTCTTTAAATGTAAGGCCTTTTTTTCTAAGACATTTTATTAGCAGCTGCTCCTAAAGCCTCCCTAAAAGCTTAACATAAAGACTGGGAACAACCAGGAAAAAAGTGTGTGATCTTTGCAGGACTAAGTAAAACCATCATGTGTTGTTTTTTTTACTTCTATTTTTGTATGGATTTAACAACCAAACCAGTTTTTTTCATTATTTAGCTTTAGAGGAAGTTTGATTGCACAGTGCCAAGCTAGTTGTCTCCTTTAGTTTCCAGTCTTCATGCTAAGATAAGCGATGTTCCCATCTAGCTGTCGGCAAAACAGCCTATAACTATATTTTCCAAAATGTTGAAGTATTCATCCAAGTCCAAAGAAAAGACAAAGTTCACCAGAGAGTCGTGATCTTCCTTGACATGCAGTGGCAGGCTGAGCAGGTAGGTGTTCAGGGTCTGGACGGAGGAACAATCTAAACACTGCACGCATGTCTCCACAGATATCTTGTACAAATTCTGGATTTCAAGAGCCTGGCAGAAAAAACAAATACAAACACAATATAATAAATGACGCACTTACAGTTGGAAAGATAAGGAATATTCATAATTAAAGACCAACCAGATGTTTGTCGTCCATCTGGTGTTGCAGGAGGTTCAGGATGGAGAGGAACACCTCATCAGCATCATGCTGCGTACCAACTGCAAAACATGTTAAAAGTTACTAAATAAACCGATTCAATAATCATCTGATAAAGTAGTATCCTTACGTCGAATACGGTTTAAGTCCAGAGAGTGGAGAAAGGCATGATGAGGAGCAGGACGAGAGGTGTCGCTCTTCATGGCGGAGAGAACTCTCTTCAGCTGCAGGGGGATGTTACGACTCTCCTCTCTCACAGCAGCTCCCTCCCACCTGGTGCAATTTATAAATCCTCATTAATCCTACTTTTGATTACCTGAGAGAAGCAGCCTTGGATCTTAATTGACACCTTGTTGATTGTTAAATCCACCGTCGGCCAATACATCTGTGTGTGTGCCTGCATGTGTCTATGTATGTCTGTCTGCAGTTTATCGTGCATACTACTGCGCCGATCAGCCTAATATTTATTGGGCACATTCATCACTGTATGCTCAAGGACCACCCGGTGATTTACAACTTTGAGAAACACATTTTGTTTTATACCGTTATAATATTGACTCCTTACTCCTCTTAAGCAGCCAGTAGAGGCCGCAAGTGATCAACGACTGCTCCAGGCAATTGGTTTGATTAAAGACAAGCTTTACCTAGTCCATTAAAGGCCCTATTTGTGCCTTTGTTGTTGCTCAAAAACTGACATCCATTTTTTAAACAAAGCATCTGCGGATTAACTCCATATGTCAGGGGTGTCCAAACTACGGCCCAGGGACCAAATGCGGCCCGCTGACCATTTTGAATCGGCCCTCAACAAATTAAAAAAGTATAATGGAATACGGCCCACAAATTAAACTTCTTGAATATATCTGTACATATATATTACACAGTAGTATTCATGTGTTAGGCCCAATTTCTAATAAATTAAGTCAATTAAAGTTGAAAATATGTTTTAACAAATCTAAGTTGATAGGAAAAAAGCCCAATAGCTTATTTAAATAACAAGATTGAAATATACCCTTCCTCTTTCCTCTTATGATAAGCAATCTGAGGGTTCTGTTTTAAGGAATGAGCTGCTAAAAAAATAAATGAAACCCTATGGAGAGCTGTGATGTAGGCTGTTTTTTTTCTTAAAGCATATTCAGTTATCAAGCATAATTGACCTACATTTGATTGATTTTGCTAAATTTTAACTTAACTTATGAGGCAATAAACCTCACCTCGAGTGAGTGGCCCAGCCCTTCGAATGTTGTTCTATATGTGGCCCTCGGTGAAAAGAGTTTGGCCACCCCTGTCTTCTTAATTCAGGACCATACAACATTATTTTCTTACTTGTCGAGTATTTCTCCCAGTTCCCAGGTAGCGGAGAAGGTCTGCAGGAGTGTGTTCACACAGCAGGACAGCTGGTGGTTAATGAGGCCTCTCATTCCTGTGACAGACCATCGGAAATGTCAAAAATAATCCTGTTGCTGAAAAGTTTAACCAAACACATTTTCCAGGGCCCACCGAGGGGCCCACCGAGGGGCCCATGCCAGCGGGCATTCACAGGTGTGAAAATAATATAAAAACATAAAGGTTATGCTTGATGCTCAAAGTAAATATAGAACTCCAGCACCCACCTCACTTAGATATTGTATTAAAAATAAACAAGTCAATCCTTTTATAGAAGACAGTGTGACATTTTTAGTTTATTGATTTAAGGCCCTATTTATAGAAGATTTTACAGGTTTCTTTTTTTAAGTTGATTTTACAGATCCAAGGGCAGTTTTTTTGTTTTCTGTCATTGCTGCACACATGAGGGATTTATTGGTTGTGAAGAGGAACAAAATACAGTAGACTATGATATTTATTTAAGCGATTTTGAGAAAGTTGCTCATTATTTTGCCATTGAAACTTATTATTTCGAGAAGACATTTTTCCTTTCGTTGGTGGCCAGACCGTGGGACATTGTACGAAAAGTCAGCACACTCAGCATAGTGCGCGCAACATGATTGCAGCGTCCAGGCAGCTCCCGTTCGAGCATATATACCATGAGCTGCACATAGCGCCAACGATCCATCACAGTGTCCACACACACACACACACACACACACACACACACACACACACACACACACACACACACACACACACACACACACACACACACACACACACACACACACACACACACACACACACACACACACACACACACACACAGTATTGTATTATTGTATGAGAGAGGTTCCAGGTTGAATTGAGGCGAATATTTGTAATGTTCAGAGGTTGTGTTTAATATTCATGAGAATATTTGTCATTGTTCAAATGATAATAAAGAAACATATAAAGCATATTTGTCCACTCATATGTTGATAAGAGTATTCAAAACTTGAAAAATATCCCTCTAAGGTACTTTTAGAACAGATAAAAAATGTGCGATTAATTTGCGATTAATCGCGATTAACTATGGACAATCATGCGATTAATCGCGATTAAATATTTTAATCGACTGACAGCCCTAATTGTATTACATTGAAAGGTGGTATGTTTTTTAATCTTCCACCTTAATTACATACTGTGGAGGAGCACATCGATTGCACCTATGCAAGTATATAATGCATTCAATTCAATTCAAAGGTTTTAATGTCACATAAGCTCCTCCAACAATGCAATATAATAAAATATAAAAAAAAAAAATTGTGCAAGAACTCTATATATACGTAAATAGAATATGATACAACATACAAGAACAGAATGTAAAATTAAATGTTGTACAGTATGAAATTAAATACTGTCTATTACAGTAGACAACAGATGAGTGCTTATGGAGGCATGTTGCAGGGCTAATGTATTGTATTGTTTGGTAACATTTAAATCATATGTACAAATATCATCAGCAGACAGCTTGGCTGTGTTCTACTTACCAAAGTAGCTGTCCCTTCTAGAGAGAAATGAAAGAAACCGGCAGATGCTATGAGACATCAGCACAGACTCAGTGTCGGATAACTACCGGAAGTTCTGGAGACAAAACCCACGTCTCCGGGGTGCAGAGACACGTTTACTTGAGAGAAAAGTTATAAAACCTTCCGTGTTTCTTTCAGAATGATCTGTTCCTCTCCTTTCAGAGTAAACATCACCGTCTGACAGCTTAAGGTTCAATTTCGTTTTTACACTTCTGGGTTCGTCATTTTTCTGGAATCGAAACTTAGTAGTTGCCACGCGCAGAGTCGCAGACCGATATTATCACAAAACACACGGAAAATTAACATCATTTCATTCATATTTATTATCGTTTTATTAGATTTCCTTTATCCAACATTCCGTTGCCAGTATTTCTTGTTTGTTTTGTTTTTATTTAAAAAGTTTGACATCCTAACTGTAAAAACACAGTTAATATAAAATTACCAGCATTTTACGTATTATAAACCGCAATTGAATCAATATAATTGCATAATTATCAAGATTAATAAAAAAAATAACTTTCTAAAAATAAACACAAGGTTGAATAATATGTAATTGCACTTTTTTATGCTAAGAGATAGGCTCATGTTAAAGGAAAAAAGGACAGCGGAAGATTGGACATTAAAGGTTCATGGATTTCTAACGTCATCCTTTGGTATTTCTGTGTAGCGCTTTGCCACATTATTTTAATTTTATTAAAAATATTATTTTCCAAGAAAATATTGATAAATGTGACTGCTTGCAATACAATCAACATGTAGTCCTTATCTTCTGCCACATTGCCAACCCTTACAGTCTCTATTAATAATCTGTTGATCACATTTTGTGCCAATGTTCATATGTTATGCCCTTTATGACACTCTTTTGCCGCCCCATGAACATTTCCCTGGGTCTGCTCCGGCATACACACTCACAAATTGATGGTATACACATATACTTTAGTCAAACACATTGTGATTTTCAGTCTTTTACAGTCTCTGTGTAAGAGCCTGATGGTACGGTGCAAACATGGCAGTCCACATCTCTCTGAGCAGCTGGAGCAGTTTGGAAATCCACATGAATGAAGATGGAAGAGCTGCAGGGAAAGAACAAGAAGAAATTCACTGATATCATTCAAATCTTAAATGTTATACTGGTCAACAAGGAACATTTGATCTAACCTGGATCCATTCGGAGGAGAAGCATGTAGAGCAGAACAGCAGCAAGAAATAATTTCCGGAAAGAGAATGAACCAGAGCCGGCCAACAACACTTTTCGGTACAAAAACCTGAGCATGGCTTCAAGTTTACGGATTACAGATCCTGTAGAATTAGAAAATCTGAATGAATTACTTGTACTCATATTATATCATATAATTCAGGGCTTAACCTATATGCAAGACCTTGGGTTGAGTGAGTGGCAATCTCAGAGTCTGGTCTGATCCCAGGATCTGGAGGCGGTTCTTCATTCTGTCGCTCTTTTTCTTCTACAACATCCAGCGCCGTCTGCCTCTGCTCCTCTGAGAACGCGCTGCTTCCAACCTGGCCCTGGATCAGCTGCAGAGCCTCGTCTCTGTCTCCCAGAGGCACGAGGACATGCAGCAGGTACAGCTCCGCCACCGTGCCAAAGCCTGTCACTGTGCTGTTGGACAGGCAGTGTAACCAAACTCTGGCTGCGTCCTGCATCACGGCTGGCTCCCCCACCTTGGAGTAAAGAAGTATGCTGGGGACAAAATATCGTTATCAATAGGTATGTTAGAGCTGAAGACGATAGAATGATAGGTAATCAACAGAACAATAATCTTTAAGTGGTTTATCAAACAAAAAGGCCAAATTGTTCTTCTTGTAATAAACAAATGTATATTAATTATCCTTGGCTTTTGAACTTTTTTTGGATAAATTCAGGAATAGGACAATGCTACCTTGGTTGCGAAACTATTTGAAGCTTATTCTCAATTATGCTTAAGTGGATAGTAGGGTTTTCAACTGTCAGAGTTACAATGTATATTAAAGGGCTACATTTATAGAGGGTTGTACAAACTAAGATAAGATAAGATAGAACTTTATTGATCCCAATTTGGGACATTTTTGTGGGGCTGTACAAGGTTTAATGTATTATATTAAGTATTAAAAAGAATATGCAATGTTGTGGTTTTACTATCTTTTTGTCCTGTTTGTGTCCTATCTATCTATCTATCTATCTATCTATCTATCTATCTATCTATCTATCTATCTATCTATCTATCTAATCGAGGATGCAGCGATCGATGCTGACGATCTATAGATCATCTAGTAATCTATATCTATCATGCTAGGAGCTATCAGCTGATCATCGAGCGAGCTATAGATCTATTCTATCGATTATCTATTGCCGATCTATCTGATACGATCTTTTCTGTTTAGCTAGTCGATCTATCTATCATCATCTATCTATCATCTATCGATCTATCTATCTATCTATCTTATCGATCTATTAGGCTTCTATCTATCTAGTCTATCTATCGAGTCTATCTATCTATCTATCTATCTATCTATCTATCTATCTATCTATCTATCTATCTATCTATCTATCTATCTATCTATCTATCTATCTATCTATCTATCTATCTATCTATCTATCTGTCTATCTGTCTATCTATCTATCTATTATACAGCTATAGCTCTACTCACCACATCTGCATTATTTTGGCTGGTATTTTCTCCTGGTGCTCGTACTGCTGGAGGATCCATGAGAGGACTCCATGCCACTGATTCAGCTCAGCCAGTGCCTGCATCCCTAACATGCAGAAGCCAGCTTTAAGCTCTCCACACCTGAAGAGGGGAAACACAGAAAACCACAGAGACATTAGCATCCAGCTGCAGGGAGCATTCATCTCATACTTGGGAACATTGAGACTTCCACCTGCTGTCCTCTTGGTCCATGTTGGCGAGGCTCTCCAGGCCTCTGTCGCATGTGTCAAAGGCTTCCTGGAAGTCTTGTTCGACCATCATTTGCTCTGCAGCGGTGTCCAACATGCTGGACATCTGTGTTAAAGAACAAGTGAGCTGCGGGCTGCAGACTGAACCGAAGCTGCGAGCTGCAGACGAACTGCTCATGACAAAATAAAGTAAAAAATAAATAAATAACACGCGCTAAAATATACTGCTTTACTTTTAGCTGCTAAGTTAGTACGTGGATAGACCTGTTTGGACGTCTACTTTTGTACACAATACTCTACTCAACATTAGTTTACAATCCATCCATACTTCTTCGACCTTCCTGTTTTCCTGGCATCCTCAGCCAATCACATGTTCCGTTCTTCAGATCGACAAAAGCAGCCAATCATGTTACTCTTTCTTCACAAACGCGTCATCGTTTTTTCCTCCAATTTGTAAACACGTGTGCGGAGCGCAGTGTGTCCCTGTCCGTCTACGGAGAAAATTAAAGCACCTAAAGGACATCTGTAAGTCAACGCTTATTGTTAACATGTCAAATAATACTCATACACTGTATTAGTTGCTATGTATAATGAATTCGCTCTCAAGTTTATGCTTGGTTGCTTTAGCTTTGGAAAGCTAACAGGCTAGCAAACTGTTTGCCTACCTTGCGGTAGCTTGCTAATATCAAACGTTAGTTATGTGTTAATACCAAATAGTGACATTGTGTTATGTTATATTCTGTTTCCCATGTGGATACGTATGTAATTACGATGATCTTGTGTAATAAATAGTGATCAGGCCAACGGTGCTTTTTTGGAGGCCTATTTCTTTTTATATCTCCATTAAGCAATTACAGTGGATTACACGTGATCGATGTGTACCACTTGACTGTCGTTCTTCCCTGCAAAGCTGTGTCACTTCTCCTTTTTTAGCATTTTAACTTTTTTGTATTACTATAAATGTCCTGTGAGCTATATTTACTCAACACACTTCCCTATAATTACACCTGAAACAACAGTGTGATTTTGTTGTCCTATGTTGTTTTAGCAAGTCTTGCTAAAAGTGTAGTACAGTTGCAGAAAAACTGAACACTCTTTTTTGCATTTCAGGAGTATTATTTTGGGGTTGTCATCACCAAAGAGGATATGTTTTAAGAGTTTCAGGATTCCTGTAGATACAACAATGTATACATACTTATTGATTGTTGGGCCTCTTGGTTTTGGCATCTACTGCATCCTAGAGAAACTTAATTTATTATGAAAAAAACAAATGAAGTGTGGGGACTTGCAGAGCAGCTTGAAAAATGTTGTAAGTTTGACTGTTGTGTGTTTTTCCTTTCTTCCTTCAGATCGTCTTTAAAATGGCAAAAAGCCTCAGGAGCAAATGGAAGAGGAAGATGCGTGCAGAGAAGAGGAAGAAGAACGCTCCCAAAGAGCTGGCACGCCTGAAACAAGCTCTGAGTATGGATAAGAAAGGAGACGCTGTCATGGCCGACATACAGGACATCGTCACTGTGGTGCCAGCTGACAAGATCAAGAAGCAGATAGATGTGGGGGAGATGGAGGGGGAAGGTGAGTGAGAGATTGTTAACAACATAGTTCACAGATTTTTAAGTTGTATTGCACATGTTCATTTATCATCTTTCTTATTTTGTAATCCTTGTCTTTTGTGTTTCAGATGGTAAGATGGACATGGACAGCAAGCGCAACAAGATAACTCAACTGAATGAAAATGGACAGTACCCCGTGTGGATGAATCAAAGGCAGGCCAAAAAACTAAAAGGCAGACGCATGGCAAAGAAAAACGGCCACAGCAAGAAGAAGAAGGGTCTCGCCTGGTAAAGCAGAGGAAACAAAAAAAACACTGCTTTGCCTTAAAAGACTTTTTACGCTGCAACACAGAATAATTTCATGTATTGTTTTATACATGTAACTGTGGAATTTCCCATTCTGTTAAGTGGATTACAAGATTCATGGTTGTGAAACGGAGACTGTTATTAAGTAATTCCCTGCAGGAAAATGTTTGTTCTTATGGAACAGCAGCTTCATCTTAGGACACGTTTAGAGAAACTAGAACCAGTCCAAAATATGTCTGATTGTCATTACTACAATTAAAGTCTTCAAACCCGGCTACAGTAAACGTCATGTTTTAGGTTTGAGCGATACTTGGGTCATATGTTGTGTCATTCCGCATATCCCCCTCATTTAGTTGGAGCTCTCTACTGTCAGATTCTTTAAACCGATTTGTATACATTTTCAATATTGCTGCGTATTCTATAATACAATTGTATGCAAAATAATAATGAATGATTGCTTCCCACTTGTAAAACAGACTTTAATTAAAGGTTTTTCTTCATTTTTCAACACGTTGCTTTAGGACATTTATTTGGAGAGCAGAATTATGTCAAATAATGACAATATGATCACAATACTTTACTTTTCTTGAGCTAGAAGATAATAGCCCTGACATTACTGAAAATTGTTAATCATTTCAAAATTAACTAAGACAAGCTGTTAGCATATAAACAACCCAAAGAATGTTGCCTGTAGAATATTTGAGTGATTGAAATCAGTTAATCTCATGAAGAAAATGAAACTTCTTACCACTAATATCATCACACTGTTAGATACTCATTTACACTGACCCGAAGGTAGATATTACACAATAAAAATATAGAAATCGTCTCAGAAGCCATTTTGGCTCTGTTATTGTGTGATTTATTCTATAAAAACTAATATTTCCCTTTGCTGCACATCCTTAGAAACATAACTGTTTAAGTTAAGCTTGTTCAAAACCTCCCTGATCATTTCCTCACTGCGACAGCTGAACATAAGCGGCGGGGAAGAGACCAACGCGACCGCGACAATGTCCCTTCCACCAGCCCTCGTCAATCATCTCGATGTTGGTGATGACATCATCTGGGTTGAAGGAGATCTCATCATCAGCCTCTGTGTGGAAAAGAAGAGGATTTGTTCTCACAAATGTCGAGATATAATGAAATGTCCAAGAAAATGAAGAATTGAAAAGTGTCATACCTCCTTCGTAGTCATAAATTGCTACAGCAGTCTGGCCAGTCGACAGGTCTTCATAGTCATTATCTTCGGCTGTGAAGGGAACATAGAAATTCATATTTGTTCTATAAATCAAAGGTTTGACGTATAACTGACTGCCAGGCTTGGGGAGTAATGAGATTACGTATCAATCAGGATGCAAAAGAAGGTAACTGTATTCCCATGCAGTTACATTAAAGAAATAGGTTATCAGATTACTGTTAAAAAATATTAAAATAGAGAATACTAGCAGGTGTTGATATTGAGGTAATCCAAAAGGTAGGATTAGGTTACATTACTTATATATTGGGATACTCAGCTTTGGTTACAGATGACATTTTTTGACATGTAACTAGTCATTGTAACGGATTCCATTTTTAAAGTAACCAGACCTGGGGGCGCAGGAGGAGGCGGATCAGCGAGTTCCTCGTACTCTCCCTCATCCTCATCCTCATCCTCCTCCACATCTGCAGACAGACCTGGGGGTGCAGGAGGAGGCGGGTCAGCGAGTTCCTCGTACTCTCCTTCATCGTCCTCCTCCTCCACATCTGCAAACATGTCGGGGGGTGGGGGGCCCTCCAGGGAGTTGGAATCCTCTGAGCGCGGGGGCAGGTCCGGGGGCTCCTCGTACACTGATTCCTCCTGAAAACATCACAGCATGTCTTCAACTTCATGGTCTCAAATCCTGGAGGTGACTTTAGGATTTTAGTATATCACCTAATCTCAGTGTACGTCTGTTCTGTGTTTTCCAGATTTCTCAAACAATTTTAATCATCTATATGAACATATATTTCCCTAGTTACACCCTGTTCTCTTACCCAAACAGAGATGATAGCCAGAACTAAAGTAACTCATTTCATTAATGAATCTGCAGATTAGTGTCCTTAAAATGTTAGAAAACAGTGAAAAACGTTAAGTTTCTAAAGTGCAAAGGTCTGGTTTTGGCAGTACATAAGCCTATTATATTCAGTTTAATGATATAAAACAGAGAAACCCAGGAACTCTCTATAACAGAGACGCTGAAAACAGTATCTTCTGCAATTTAAGCATGAACAAATTAGTTGTTAATCAACAAAGTTAGGATTCGTTAACAAAGATATTGATGAATGGATGAATCTTTTGTTTTGTATAATTTGTTTGAATCAGTGTCTTACCTCTGGTTCAGGTATTTCTTGTATCTCTGGCATGTGGTGTTGGATATCTGGTGGCGGCATTTCATCCTCCACCTCTGGAGCCACATCTGGAACAGGTGGTGGACGGATTTCCTCCTCTCTTCTGCTCTCCTCCTACAGGGAACACACATTCATTAACACGCATATTAACCTTTAGTTTATTTGTTAATATAATGTTGACAGTGTGTTACCTCTTGTCTGCGTTTGGCAGCCTCCCGCTCGTTGCTCTCTCTGGCTTGTCTCCTCGCTCTCTCTTCTTCTGCTTTCTTCTTGTTCTCTTCATCTGAAGCCTTCGCCATGTTCTCAAAACGTGCCTTCAGTTTCCCTGCGCCTGCGCTTGCTGCAGAAACGGATAAAAACAAATATGAATGTGGCTTAAAGGTCCCCTATTATACTGTTTTTCATCAATATATTATAGGTCTCAGATATATACAAAACATATCTCTGAAGTGTTTGGCACTAAATACCAAGAGATCATGCATTGCAGCATCCCATAAACCCCTCTGTTTCAGCCCTGTTTCAGAAGGGCTGATTCTCTGTCTGTTACTTTAGATGAAAATAAGGAGCCACTCCCCACGCTCCTCTGAGAGATATTTGGTTAAAAAGAACACAATGGTGCTCTAGGAGGATATTCAGGTGATAAGGTGGGGGGGGAGGGGGAGTGTTACCTTGGTTGGTGATTGGCTAATGGTTACACAAGCCAAAAAATCGTTATGACATCATAAAGTGGCCAAAATCTGATCAGCTCATTTTCAGACAGGTTTTTATATAAATGGATCAGGACAAAAAGAGAGAGAATCTTTGTTCCTGAAACTTTCAGAATCTCTTTACACAGAGGGGACACATGTTTATGTATAAAAGACATGACAAAGTTTATTTTTGCATGATAGGTCCCCTTTAACAATACAAATGTTTGATCATGGTTACACCTTATCGCTGGTGGCTTTATTTGTTCACAGAAAGATGGCGCAGTAGAGTTTATTGTAGTGAGTGGAAACATGGACTTACAGGCCTCTAATGGTTGTGTCTTTTCATACGCAGAGGAAGGGGAATCCATGTCTGAGAAGCCGGCTGCACTCTGAAAGAGATCAATAGAGAAAGTATTTGTTTCCAAAAGTCCAGATAGATTCAGTATATACCATTAACTATGTTACATTTGTCCATACCGACATGTGCAGGAATGATAAGTTAATAACTAAAATGGTTCATGTATGGGTCCACAATATAGCTTTATCTCAGCCAATTAAATACCACAGTTTGCACAAAAATATGTCCTCTATACACCAAAACAGATATATTCTGCCAAGCCTCACACAACCTAAATAATAACCTATAATAATTTACAAGAGAAATAAATAAAAAGTGAAATAACAGTTGCAGCTGTAATACTGACCTTATCCATGCGGTCAGCCTGAACTCCATAACGACCTCCAAAACCTGCTGAATAATCTAAACAGATCCATTTGATCAGCCTGATGTACTATAGTTAAATTATATTTTAAAATACACACATGTGGATGTCTCCTTACCTTTTTGTGACTGATGTTTCTCCGTCTCGCTCTTATAATCATAGCCCAAAGCAGATTTATCCACTTTCTCCTTCTCAACACCAAACTTCCCTCCAAATCCTTTTGAATAATCTGTACATTAAATAAATAAACACTGATCAGAAATCATGGACAAAGGGTGTAAAAACAGACGAATGCTACAACTATCACGGACCTGTCTGTGACTGGTGCTTCTCTGTTTCTCCTTTATAGTCGTACCCCAAAGCGGCTTTGTCCATCTTCTCCTTCTCCACGCCGTACTTTCCTCCAAAGCCCTTAGCATAATCTGGTGAAATAAAGTGCAATATAAAGAAAATGTCACAAAAAATGTGTCAAAACTGATTATTGCTACAAAGTAAGCTCACCTTTTTGTGACTGGTGCTTCTCTGTCTGGCCTTTGTAGTCGTACCCCAAAGCTGACTTGTCCACTTTTTCCTTCTCCACACCGTACTTTCCTCCGAATCCCTTTGAGTAATCTAAAACATGTGGATTGTAGAGGAAATTCTGTGAGGTAGTAGCTTAACAAAAGTAAAAATATTGTACTGTAGATGAAATTGCCCCTTTAATGTTACCTTTCTGAGATGTGTGTTGCTGTACCTCTCCTTTGTATTCAAAGCCCATGGCCGACTGCACAGAAGAAAAGTTGCATTTAAGGTTATTCATTCTTTAAAGACCCCTTCTGTTCTGAACAGCGAATATTCATTGTTGCCATTAATCGGAGATACAGGGTCCCTCGCTTTAATAAAGTCAGACTGAAGCCCTCCAATGTGCACCAGTCAATTCTAACAGTAAATACAGAGCTAAATCCCAGGTCAAATGCACGCTGAAGTGTCTTTGAGCATGTTTCTCTCAGTGATGTTATGTTAAATGTTTGCTTTTCTTGTCTTAATACCTGTCCTTGTTAATGTTGCAAATGGCTCTGCTGTGACCCAAGTGAAATTTCAGACTTGATCTGATTATTAAAGTAATATTGTATCGTACCTTCTATTAAGTGCTTTGAATGGTTTAAAAACACTCTGCCTTAAATGATCATTTGTGTCCGATATGGTTTTCTAACAGAAAAGCTGAACTAAACAGATATAGATTCTTACATTACATATTTGTTCTCCCTTATTTCAATTATTAATATCATGTTTCCACATCACACGTGTGAAAGTTACTTGTTGGTGTACGATTCCTTCCCAGACATTTTTTTATGTCTAAAATCAAATCATGATAGTAGTTACACGGGTTAAACAATTCATTCAGTGAAGGTCAAACATCCAGGTGAAGTAACAATAATCAAATCAGATAAGAACGGATGTTTTTTAAGTCTCTTCTTCTCCTCACCTTGTCGACTCGATCTTTCTGAACACCGTATTTCCCACCGAAACCTTGTGCCCCATCTTTCTGAGAGGAGTGCTGCTCCACTTGTGCTACATAGTCGTGCCCCAAAGCCGCCTTAAAAACAGAGATATACATATAAACAATCCAGCCTACAGTTTGTAGGAGCGAAGGATGACCTACATTGAATCTGGCAATACATAAGAGAATCCTATCATGATGTTTTGAGTGTCAAAAATGTGTTAACCTTGTCCATTCGGTCCTTTTCGACTCCGAACTTCCCTCCATATCCGTACGAGGCTTTGGGAGTGTGCTCCTTCTTCTTCCCCTGCTCGTGCTCCGCAGCCACTTTGTTTCTGAGATCTGCAATACTGGGAGGTCACACAGGGTCAAACACACTGACACAGAGAAGCACAGCAGTACACACAATGATAAAAACATCTGTCATAAAAAAACTAAGCAGGGTTGGGGAGGGGGATATAATTAGAAATACAAACTTAAGTCTTACATTCATGGGAAAAGAGAGATAGGGGTGTCATTCCTGGTTTTTTCTCTGACATTTGAGGCTTTAATCTTAGATAAATGTTCTTTTCTTATCCAAAATATATTACTTAAATCTCGGAAATTCCGAGTAAGTAATACCCATCTCCGTAACTGATGGTGTAAATGTAACACTTCCTAATAAGTTATTCATGTAAATAAGTTGTTTATAAATTATTTTTTGGAACAGATACTGTACAGGTTTTGTATACCTGAAGAATATACAATATAAATGCAGTGTCATGTTGTATGAGGAACAGCTGAAGGTATGCTTCACAACAGCAATAACCCCTTATAAACTCTTGAAAGTGTGAATTAGCGGTATGTAAAGAAATCTTTGAGCCATCTCTAGGCCTATTCAGCACCACTGCTTGTATTTATAGTCTGGCCCATTCAAAGTGAGAAAGCACAGTGCTTTAAATCTCACTGTCACCATCATATATTACCCATATTAGGAAAGACTCACTGCCTGCGACTTGTGCTCTGCTCTCACTTCCTCTTCCTGTTGCTACACAGCACCATTTCTGTCCTGCATTTCTCTACATAGTGTAAAGAATCGCTCAGGAGGTGTGCATCTCCTACCTGATGTGCTCCTGCCGTCCTGAACCCTCCACACTCTTTGATCCCCACCTCTGCTCCTGCTCGGATATATCATTCTGAAACACACAATCAGGAAGGGTTTGAGTGACGCACACACCTTTATACAGTGATTCACATATCTGCAGGAAGTATACAGTACCTCAAAGTCAGGGTCTGTCTCCCAGTCTTCCCCCTCTGTAGACACCTTCACGTTCACATTGTGGCCCACGACTGACTTCCACATCTGGGGAAGTAAAACACCATGAGCCACACTGAAGACAGTTTCTGAGTCATCATATGTTCACATCTGGAAATATTCTGTTATATTTTTTTAAAACTGTTATCAAAGCACTGAGCACTTTTTATTAACATAATAACTACAAATAACTAATGTGCAGCCACAAGCTATGAACACAGTTTGGTGAAGTCTCAAAAGGGAAGTTATTCTCAACACACAGCTTCATTTCCCCATAATGGAACACACTGCAGTACTTCTATAAAGTAAAGAGACACTAAAATACAAAAGAAACAGTATCATGATAACATATTATTTAAAATAAATACTTCCTGTAATGCTTACAAGTTACACACTGACATAACATTGTTTCTCAATGGAGGCAAACACAGTATTCTCTTTATTCATTTAATAAATGCGAAGTTAGCAATTGTCCCTTTTACTATAATTGTTCATTGTAACAGATGTTGCCCATACAGGTGCATATTAAGATAATAAAATACATTAAATGTTAGCCCTTCCTATCTTACAGTATTCTTTTTGCAGTTGTTTAAGTCACCCATGTCGCATTTTCCTAACGGTTTACAGTACATTGCCTTTAACTACGTCTCAATATGTACTTCCTTAATGACGTTTAAAGGTGATTAAAATAAAAGCACACAGACCTATGCCTTTTTTAGTAAGTTTGAAGTAAACAAAATAACATTACCTTTGAGTTGTCAGGGTATTATATCCGTGTTTAAGTGGATATTAAACCGACACAGTGTTCTTGAAGTTCTTCAGTCAAGTGGTGACAGTTTAATGGGCGACAAGTGAACGCGGATCTTGGGTACGTGAACGCGCCTTGATGTAAATAATAATAATGTCGTCTATTTTTATCGTACTTTAAATTATAACATTATGGGATCTTGTTATTTTAGTATGCAATATTTAATACAACATATAAATCAAGGGATTTCTGTAGGAGACCTTTAAAAAAATAAGTAAGAAGTGCTGCATTCAAGTGCTCACGGAAATCACAGACAAAGTGATGATAAGAGTAAATGTGGAGTTTAAGGATATCGGGGCTGCTAGCACTAATGGCGTAAACCACAATCAGTTAAAAGCATGAATAATTATGGGCTCTTATGTTAGTTACAGTTTCTGACCTTGAGAATCCTTTTATAAACAGAATTAGTCAGCTTTGTGATTTAGCAGGTTGTGGTGTAGTTACAACACTGGGGGGCAGACGGGGCAGACACACACACATCATCATACACAGTATTAGGAAACAACTGGGTAATAATATCTCTAAGTACTCGCTGACCATTGTGACTACACATTAAAGGAAATGTTTGTTTTTGCTGTTAAAAAAGCATCGTAAATTGGGCTCAGACGTCAACGTTTAGCCATGAAAATTATTTTGTGTGAAAAAATAGCTAAACATAGTTATTTCATTTTTCTCTTAAATTCTGGCAAATATAAGCAAATGATTTGAAGGCAATAGATTAATGTCCCTCCAGGAATTGTACAATTCTGCATAAAACGTTGCTGAACCTGTTTTTCATACCCACTGGCTCTATTTTGACTTAGACGTAATACTCATCTGAACTCTTTTAACTTCCATCTTTAAGTTCACTGACATCAGTACAGACAGACACAGCTGATGTGTTTAATCTTTATTCTGTGCTAAAATAACTTGTGAATGTAACTTAAATGTTTCAACAAAAAGTCCCACAGAGAAGCATTATGTTTTAAAACCAGCAGTTCAATTGTTAAAATATCACAGTTGTTATGTCACTTCAACATTTATAAATGTTTGCTCAATCATCGGATAACATTTTGTTTTAATTTTATGAATTAAATAAAACCATTTACTGACAAAAGTACTACAGTAATTTAAAATATACCAATGTGGTTTTTCTACACAAATGAGCAAATAATTAATGCTTGACAAGATCTGTCCCTGATCTAAACCACCATCACTTTTATTACATTTTAGTTTTCTATACAGCCCTTTTTAAAGTTATTTACAGTTAAAGTATATTTCAGTGTGTAACACATGAAGAACATAAACGTTAAAAGAAGATGCGCACAGATCCTTCACCAACACTCAGCGATTAAATAAACAGGAATCAAGAGGATGATGTCAGTATACATGTGGATCATTCTGACTACTATGGCATTAAATGATGCTACATTGGAGTGGATTATAATGGGATGGATATTGATAGGAAAGACGGCAGTCTTTCTCCTCTGGAATGAATCCACACTGCGGTAACATTGTTCACCTGCTGTAAAAACTACAGAGCAAACTGTAAAATCTAAATCTGTGCAACAGAAGCCTGGACGGGGAGGGGATCTTATTGGATATGTTAGGAGGGAATACCCACTTCCACCTTACGTACATAATAACAAATATCACTATAATGCTCCCCTTTCTCGTGATTTATATAAGAGGAAAAGAAAAGGAAACGCACTACAGGAATGTGTACGAGCAAATATTGCACTGTGCTCCGATTTTGTGCATATAATGAGTAGAATAGGAAGAGACTGGATTATAACAGCATGTCCTGAACCTCAAGCCATCTTCAAATTATAGTTGGACATTTTTGACAAATACGCTAGTTCACTGCAAGTGGATGGAAGATTTCCATCACTCAACAGCCAAACATTTCAATAGAAATCGGTAAAACTGACAAAACTGGTAAGTCCGTACTTGAAGTGACCCTTTTAAATCCAATATAAAGGCACATAAAGAACACCATCATGACACACTTCAGAAAGCAAACTTAGTCTCCTGTGTCCTTCCTTCTCGGGTTTCCCTTGAAGTCATACACAAGCAACATAATTAAAACCATTAACAACAAACTAAATACATCTAAATACTTTGGATAAAATATGAATGCTGCGTTCATGTTATTGGGAATAATCGGAAGTTTCCTTAGGTCCCTTGAAGACAGAACAATAAAATGGATTTATGTTATTTTAGGACGGTACACAACTTCATAATCTCATGTCATGAGACAACAACGCTCATATCTAAAGCAGTAACATGGCGGACAGAAGTAAAAGTTGGGATACAGTAAGAAACTTAAATAATTAACACATTGCTTATCGATTTCTGCTCCTATGTTATTTGTAATATGGTTATACCGTAATTTGCTGTTCACGTGAAGTGACAGGAAAAATATACTGCTATCAGCGTGTCGTGCTCTATCGAATTAATAAAATACAAAATTGTCTCTGTAACGTCAATGTTGGTAATTGTTAAATGGACTTTATATTAAGTCTTTCTAGTCTTCTGATCACTCAAAACGCGTTGTTTTCACATAATGGCTTAAAGCTAATAAAGGCAGAAGAACGACTTCCCAACTCTGTGGATTGGATTATCCGAGGGGCGCATGAATGCAGCATTAAGTCCTGTAAAGTGCAATGTGTGTGTGGAGAGCCTCCTACACACCTTTTTATAATTGATGACATTAAAAAAAAACAGATGGATGGATATGGATGGCTTGGGTTAGGTCTGCGTCAAATTTCCATTTCCTTTCCCCTCCTCTCTCTAACTCGTGATCCTATTGGTCAGGTGTTTAAAGGGAGCGGTTCTCAGAGGAGCCCACCCAGACACAGCAGCAGCAGGATGTGCACAGTGAGCAGATAGAGGCTGAGCAGCAGAGGGGTGCGCTGACGGGAGCAGAAAGCCCCCCGCAGCATCCGCATCAAGCTGGGGCCGCCTCTCCGAGCCTGCAGGAGAGAGAGGACAAGGTTACATCCAGCTCATACGTCTGTATTATTATAGTTATTACTTTGACAAATGAGGTGGAAGGGGACATTAGAGGGAGCCTTACTCGAGTGACGGCTCCTTCCTGCTCGATAAAAACAGCCGTCTCCGAGTGATCCTCCTCCTGTGCCGAGTGCCATGTACCCTGGCTGTGACTAATAATAATAATAATAAAACAAATGTTAGTGGTGATAATTGGTCGATTAAACACATTTGAGAGCTTAAAGATTCACTTTTTAGATGCAGAACAAATATTCTGAAGCACTGTTTATTAACTGCGATTAAAAATCTTGATCATTCACTCAACGTTAAACACATAATATTTAACAATAACAAGCAATTTTGTGATCATGTTTATCAAGTTCTTCTATTTTAATAACTAAGTATCATTGTTTTGGATTGAAAAAAGCAAATTGTCTTTAGAAGTAATCCATTTTACATTACATAGTGATTTGATCTAATATACAGTATAACATTAAAATATTGCTTTAAGTTCCCTTGTCTTTTATCTTGCATCACTTTTCATACCGTTTGAGTTGATCCTGTGTGGCCATCAGCTGCTCCTCAGCAGCCACTCTCTGCTGCATCTCTTGATCTAGCCTGATGCAAGAATGAAATGGATTAGTATCCGTAAATGTTATCCTTAATCTTTTAAACAGTGTTTCAGGTAAAGTTTGACCTCTACTTTACCTTCCCTGCAGCTCTTTGACCTCAGCTATGTATGCATGGCTGTCTGACAGGCTGCTACGCTCCTGTGGGGCTCCGGGAGCGCTGTCCACTTCCTCTGTTCCCTGAAAAAAAGATTATAAAAGGATCCACGTTATATGAAGCATCCTTATCCTATGTTCTGTAGATTTTATAGGTTTAAATCAAACCTTGTGCAAGCTACATTTCTGGAGAGCTTTGGATCAAAGTCAAATATTTCTAACAACTTGAAGTCCAATTGTTATTCCCAAAGTGAGATGTGGAACCATATATTAAGGACACAAACATCTATAATGTTCCTTTGCAGTCAGAAGTAGCAGCAGCTGTATACCTCTCTCTGATAGTGTTCCTGCTGGAGTTTGGGCTTCCGAGTGCGGGCCTCCTCCAGCATGGCGCTGAGTTGCCGCAGTTGTTGGTCTCTCTCTGAAAGAGTGGTGAGGGTCTGCTGCTTCAGCTGCTCCGCCTGAGCCATCCAGTCCATACGCTCCAGTCTGATAAGACCAAGACAAATTCATATTCAATCACAAACAGAAAAGCAGGGTTCCTACACCTCTAGTATCCTGGTACGTATGGCATTAATGCGTGGCATTTTCTTAATAATAAAAAAAAAAGCAACATAGTGATTCATCAAATCTTTCTTCCCATGTCTTAGCATTTATATAGACTTTTGAAAGACATTTATAAAACCAATTAAGGTCCTATTTTAAGATTCATACATTTGAAGACTAATTAAGGTCTTGAAACACTTTTGTGACATTTTGCTTTTCTAAACTCTGCCTCTGTGTCTCACCTGAGAGTTTCTATCTGCTGTTTGCCCATTTCCGCCACATTCTCCAGCTGCATGATGATACTGAGCATGTCTTCATTCCTCTTCCTCTCTTCATACAGCTCCTGGCTGACTTTAATCAGCTCTCCGGCTCCAAGTCGAGCCAGCTCTGACTTCAGCTTCTTGAGCTCAGTCGCCTGTGTCTGAAGCTGCTCTAGCTGCACACAAAGAGAAGGAAGGAGAAAAAATAGATGTTGGAATAGATGTCAATGAAAATCCACAACATCATATATTTCTTTGCCAGGAGATTTGTGATGTCCATAATATTTACATGTATTTGTCAGACATGTAACTCACCAGTCTCTCCCTGTCATTCTGCAGGGCTTGTAGTGCATTCTTCAGACCCCACACTTCTCCAGTGGAGCCCCCGGGGCTGCTGGGTACTGGGACGCCCCCTGCTTTACTCATCTCCTCCAGTCTCAGGCTCAGTTCCTGGGCCTTGTTCAGAGCCTGGTCCCTGCTGTCCTGCAGGGAGGCCATGGCTTTTGAGAAGGACTGATTCTCTGCTCTCAGCTGCGTGGTCATCTCTCTCTCTGCCAGCAGACTCTGTTCCACAGCCAGCAGGTCTCTGGCCAGCTCCGCCACCCTCTCCTGAGCGTTCTCTGACTCTGTCCGCATCACCCCCCCCTCCCATCGCAGCTCTGACAGCTCTTTGCTCCTGCCCTGCTGCTCCTGTCTCTCCTTCTGTAATCTCTCCTCCAAAGCCTCCACTTGCTCTCTGGCTGCTTGCAGCTGCTCCCTTAGCTTCTCCACCTCTGCACCGGGAGCATCTATCACCTGTGGTGCAGCCTGGCTTAGAGCCTCCCTTTCCACTTTCACTGCTTCCACTCCCGTCTCTCCGGCTCTGATTACACTCTTTACCTGACTTTCTAATTCCGCAATGCGTGCTCTCTGAGCTGCCAGAAGCTGCTTGTGCTGAGAGTCCTTCATGCTCAGGACTTGGTTCAGTTCATCGCGGTAGCCGTGGAGCTGAGCGGACAGCTGAGACCTTTCAGCATACAGGTCGTCTCTCTGGACCAGCAGAGAGCGCAGCTCTTCTTTCAGGCTGTTGTTCTCCCCTGCCGCCTCTTGGATCAGACCGTCCTTCTCCAGCATCACCTGACACACACAACAACATTCGTATATCATCAGCTGGGCATACAACTCACAGAAGAAATGAATGAAAGGGTCTATCAAAAGCACCATTACAAGCTCTCTGTGCCTGACATATTTTTCACTTTCTTAAAAAAGGAAGGTTGTCTAAAAGGTTTGCAGACACGTGCCTTAAACTTCATAACAATTAAGCCATATGTTCTAATAATACTTAAAGTTACAACATTTTTTGCAGGATTCTTTTTGAGACTATGTTTGGAGTATTTAGGATTAAAATAAAGCATATATCTAGTCAAGCTACCATCCCTCAAAAACTTCAGGATGTCAGGATTGTTCTAATACAGAAAAGAAAAAGGTATGAACTAATGTGTAACTCAGAGAATCATTTTCCTCTTGCTGTGTTTCATTATTGCTTCTTAAACAAGGAGTTTGTTAAGATGTGCTCAGGAACTAACAGCTTTGAGCAATTCTTTCCAGTTCCTGTGAGGTATTACATTGAAAATAAACATGATTTCCTCTACTACCAATACTCTAAGCTTTAGGTTTGTGTGTGTTACCTGCAGGTGTTTCTCCTCCAGCTGTTTGTACATGTTGAGCACTCGGTCTCTGTCATCCTGCAGGGAGCCCATGGCCTTCATGAAAGAGTCCAGTTTGGTTTTTCTGTTGTTGCTCTCCTCTTCAGCCTTTCGCAGTTTTTCTTCCAGATCCCTCAGTTCCCCTCTCCTCTGCTCCAGCTCCTCCTCAGCTTCCTTTGCCCTGCTGTCGGCCTCCTTTCTAGCCTCCTCTGCAGCCTGGGAAACAAAAACAAACATGAGAAGTGAACAATTTGTCAACAATATATAGGGAATGCTGCAGATAAAAACCTATAAATACCTGAGCAACAGCATGCTCCTTCTCTCCCAGCATTTCCACTTCTCTCCTTTCCTTCTCATTTAACTCAGTCTGCAGACTCTCTGTCAGGGCTTTAGAGGAGCGCAGGTCTGTCTCTAGTTGCTCCACGTTCAGACACAGCCGCCTCTCTTCGGCCTCCCGCTCACTCAGCTCTGTCCTGGCTTGGTCCACTTCACCCTGCAGCCGCCCGACAGCCTCCTCCAGAGCTCTGGCCCTCTGGTTGAGACTCTCCGCCTCTCTTTTCAGAGCGTGAGCTTCACTTTGCGCAGCCTGGAGCTCGGATGTAGTTTGCTGCAGCTTGTTTTTCACCTCCTCTAGGGCGGCTTGGCTCTCTGCGACTTTCTTTTCCTCCCCTTCCAGTTTCAGCTTCAAATCTTTCTCTGCCTTCTCCAGCCTTAAAGAAGAAGAAACATCTTGTAAGTTTTAAGCTAAAAAGCTAAATACAATCAAGGAAAAATGGAGAGGAAGAGGACGTTTTTACCTGTCAACTGATAGCTGAAGTTGCTCCTTCAGAGCAGATTCTCTCTGAAGCTGTTCTGTCAGATCCTTTGCTCGTGTCTCAGCTTCCCGCACCTCGGCCTCCTTACCCTGCAGAGAGTCACTAAAGCGAGTCTCCCATTGTTTGGTCTCGTCCAAAACTCTGTCTCGGTCGTCCTGCAGTGAGGACATGCAGCGCGAGAAGGCAGCTAACCTGGCCAGAGACTCGTCCAGACGGGCTTGCAGCTCCTGGGCTCGTCTCTCGGCTGCTCTTGCGACCTCTCTGGCCTCTAGGGTCGCTTCTTCTTCCTTGTCCCGCTCTCTGTCCACCTCGTCCAGTCTCAGCTCCATCTCCTTCAGTTCGCCTCCGAGTCTGAACCTCACAGAGTCCAGGGTCTGCTCCGCCTCTGCTTTCATCGAGGCCTCTCTCTGTTGGGCGTTCTGCTCCATGGTATTCCTCTCCGCTATAGCTACGCTTGCCTGCTTCTGGGCCTCAACCAGCTGAGATTTACAGGTATCCAACTCTGCTTCTGTCCTTTTCAGGTCATCTAGAGTTTTAGAAGTCTCCAGTTGGGATTGTTCTAGCTTATTCTGGAGCTCGTCGTAACCTTGCTGCAGCGCCTTAGCGTCTCTACCCATCTCGCTGATCCTCTCCTGGTACTTGATGCAGTCCCTCTGCAGCTGCCGGACCTCCAGCTGCTTCTCCCTCAGCAGCTCCTCCAGCTGCCGCGTTCTGCTCTGGCTGCCTTCCCTGACCCTCTGAGCGGACCTCAGCTGCTGCTCCAGCTCCCTCTGTTTACCAGACTCTGCTTCTGCTTCTGCTCTCTCTCTCTGCGCTTGCCTCATGTCCTCCTCCAGCCTGGCGGCCCGGTCGCTCTCGCTCTGCGCCTCGGCCTCCAACTCGGCCCGCTCCCTCGCCAACCGCTCCACCTCCCGCTGCAGCTCGGCCAAGTGCTCCCGGTTGTCCGCCGCCTCCTGCTGGTAGTCTGCGATGCTCCCGTTGAGCTGGGCCAGCTGGTTCATCAGACGCTCCTCCAGGTTGTCCTTCTCGGTTTCGAGGCTCCTGAGCAGCTCTTTGAACTGCGCCTCCCTCTTTGCACCCTCCTCCACCAGGCTCCGTTCTCTCTCTTTGCCCTCTTGGAGGCACTTCTCCAGAGAGGCCACAAGGCTCTCCTTCTCTTTACTCTCCTGGAGATCTCGCTCAAGAGAGGCCAGCTCCGCTTTGAGGCTAGCCTCCTGTTCCTGCCACAGTTCCCTCTCTGCATTGACAGCTGCTTCCATCTCCCTCATTTTCTCCTCTAATAAAACACTTTCAGTCATTTCTGCTTTTTCCTCAGAGTGTGTTTCTGGTGCAGGCGCTGCAGCTATTTGTTCAGCTTGTGTTTCTTCCAAGGGTTTTTCTTTGTCTTCATTCTGACTCTGAACAGGCTCTGCTGTGGTCATGGTTATATCTGATTGCTGGGCAGTGACTACCTCTTCTTCAACAGCTGCATTAGTTCTATTGTCCTCTTTCGGTCCTGTTTGGGCAAGCTGTTCCTTCAGTTCCTCAATCTGCTGCCCTAAAGAGTCTCTTTCTGCCACAGTAGCATCCAAGTCAGCTTTCAAAGCCCCCAGCTCATCCTGAAGTCTTTCAAGCTCTGCTTTGAGAGCCCTTCCCTCTCGCTTTACCACGGTCTTGTCCTGCATCTCTCTGAGTCTCTCATTCTCTTCCTCTAACTCCATTATTTTCTGCTGCTTTCCTTTGGCAAACTTTCTCATTTTGTCTTTCACCAAATCCACCTCTTTCTGTGCCTCTTCTCCTTGTCTCTCAGCTTCCTGCCTCCCGGCCTCGTGCGCCCTCACCTTGGTCGCGAGGTCCTTCCTCTCCTGCCGGGCGGCTTCCAGGACTCGCCGCACTCGCTCGGCCTCGTCGCTCACGTTTTCGTACGACTTGAGCAGAGTCTCGTACTCGTCCTTCATGCCTTGAACCTTCTCCTCCCATTCTCTGCAGGCTTTGGCTGCCTCTTCTCTGGCCAGCTCCACTTCCCGCTTACAGGCGTCTTTCTCACTCACTATGCCCTCCATGGCCAGTTTGAGGCTCTCGCAGGATGATCCTAAGCTTTGGTTTTCCACTAATGTCCGGTCAACTTCATCAATCAGTCTGACTCTTTCCGCTCTCAGCTTCTCCAGCTCATTTTCAACAGACTCCATTTTCTGCTTCAGCTTTTTAATGAGCTTCTCAGTTTCAGCCAGCTGTTCCTTTTTGGTTTTGTTTTCTTTTAAGACCTCTTTGCGAGAAATCAGAGCAGCCTGAAGTTTCCTTTGAAGCTGCTGGGTCTTTGCCTCGCTGTCTTTTTCTTCCTCTTGCTTCTGTGGAACCTCGACCTCTAACCTTTGGGATTTTTCTTGCTCAGCATTCAGTTCTTCCTGTAAAGAAACTATCAGCTGATCCTTCTGAGACACCGTGTCCTGCATCGAGTGTATGAGAGAGTTCTGCTCGCTAAGCTGCTGACCTAGCTCCATGATTTCAAGGTTCTTATTGTCGAGGAACTCCTTGAAGTCCTCCACCTCCGCCTGAAGAGTTGTGATGGAGGATGTGGAATCTTCAGATGTTGCTTTTGCTGCAATTTCCATCTCTGCTTTCAGGGTTTCAGCGTAAGCCTCAGCTTGGTGAAACTTTTCTCTGAGATCATTAACTTCCTCTGAGAGTGCATCAATCTGTCTTTCCTTTTCTCGTAGGGCCTGCAGCTCTTCGCCCAATTCCAATAATTCAGCCTCCTTCAGTGACAAACTGGTGTGGGTTTCCTGCAGCTGCTTCTCTAGCTCTGCGTTAGCCATCCGCACGGTCTGGATCTCTCCTCTGAGGGCTTGCAAAGACTCATCCATTTGTTCAGAAAAGACCGACTGCTCTGCAGGTTGCTGGACCGGATCACTGGATTGTGGTTGTGATGAATCTGTCTCCGACGTGGCAAAATCCACCCATTCCTCCTGGACCCAATCACTTGTTACTTGCTTTTCCATTTTTTCAGCCAGTTGCTTGGCCTCTTTGGGAGGTTCAGTGCTTATTTGTTCTTCTAATTCTCTCAATTTAGCCAGAAGAACTTCTCTCTGAGCGCTCTGCTCCTCAGATCGTTCTACGAGCTCACTGTATTCTTCTTTCTGCTGCTTCAGCTGTTCCCGGTGGTGCCTGTCTTTCTCTTTGGCTTTGCGGATGGTTTCCTTGCGAGATTCTTGAGCCTCCTGAACTTTCTTCTGAAGAGTTTCGCACTCTGCTTCAAGAGAGGCCACTTGGGACTGTAACGCAGTTATTTCAGGGGGACCGTCAGCCTGCTGAGAGCGTTCAGCTTCTTCAATTAGCTTTTTATTCACGGCAAGTGTTTCGGTGAGAGCTTGATCCTGTTGAGTCATCTTCAGATCAAGGGCCTCAACCGCCTCTTCTTTGGTTCTTAAAGTTTGTTGGAGTTCGAGGAGTTTGGCGTCCATTTCCTGGATCTCCTGCCCTCTGGATTGTTCTGCCTCTGGGATGTCTGCAGGAGTTTCAACCTCTCGCTCTTTCAATTTCTTCACTTCTACATCAAAATCAGCAACCTTCTTCATGAGCTCTTTGCGCTGCACAAGTGCAGCCTGCAACTTCTTCTTGGTGGTCATCAGTTGGGTCTCCAGCACGCCTTTCTCCTTTCGCACACTAGTGAGTTCATCATCTACATGAGCGCCTGAGTCTTCAGAACTCTCTTTCTGTTTCTCGTCTCTGACTTTCTCAAAGTCTACTATCTGCTCCTTCAGCAATTTGACTTCACCATTTATCTGGAACTTCTCTTCCTCTGCTTGGAGGAGTTTTGCTGACATACTGTCATTGAGCTCCATCACTTCTTGCTCCTTTTGTCCGAGAAGGAGTTGCAGCTCGCTGATCTCCGTGTCCTTTATTGATAGAGTGTCATTATTGAGCTCTGATGTCTGAGAGTATTCCAACATGCTGTTTTCCATCTCTTGGAGTCTCCTTTCGAGCTCAGAGGAGAGGAGCTCCCTTTCCTCCAGCTGAGCACTGAGCATCCTGACATGCCCCTCCTGCTCTGAGAAAGCTTGTTGAGCTGTTTCCAGATCTGCCTGCAGGGCCTGGGTCCTCTCTTCCTTAGTTTTACTTTGACTGCTCAAAATGTCTATCTGTTCTTCTAGAAGCTGCATTTCAACACCGTATTTCTCCACCCCAGAGCTGCTGTTCTGAGAGAGCTTTTCCATCTCCTCTCTGGTGGATTGAAGTTCCTCTTCAAAACTATTGGACTGGGATTCTGCTTCTTCTTTGGCAGCAGTAAGATACTGTGTCTCTTCTTCCAAGCTCTTGATTTTCTCCTGTGACTCTGCAGCTGCCTCTCTGAGCCTCTGAAGCTCAGCCAGAATCTCACTGTACCTCTTCTGGAGCTCCTCAGCTAAAGCCTGAGCAAAGACCTGACCAGAGGATATGCTGCCCTCTGTGGTGGAAGAACTCTGCTGAGTCACGTGAACTTGAACCGTCTCTCTGATAATGACAGAGGAGGAATCGACTTGAACTGTGGAGGTTTCCTGCTCCATGCTCGTCGCCTCCCAGGACTGCAGCTGGCTAAAGTCCTGCAGGTTGGACGGCCACTCTTGGCCTCCATCTTGATTCAAAGCTTCCAGGAGGGTCCAGCTGCTGTGGGCCACCTCTGAATCACTACTGGCCACCATCTCATCTGAGGAGGCTCCTTTGGATTCTTCCGGGGACTCGGACTGGTCTCCGATGAGCTCTGGGCTGCTCTCAGTACCAGCAGACATGGAGAAGACTGACGTGTCTTCGGCAACTAAGGTGGTTTCGTCGTCACGTGAATCCTCCATGAAGCCAGAAAGAGCTGCAGAACTGTCATGGAGGGGCGTATCGGCATCCTGACCCTGATCTGGGGTCTGTTCGTAGTTTTCAGACGATGCAACCCCACTGGCGCTCTGCTCAGTGGCCTGTCTGAGGGACTCTCGCAAGGCCAGCAGCTCCTTGTCTCTTTCTAAAAGCTGCTGCTCTAGTTCCAGTATGTGCTCTGTGAAAGACAATAACAGGAGATGGTATTTAGCATTTCTGTTACTTCTTGAATTCTCAAAATGTAATTGAATGGCACACTGATTTGGTCCTGATGTTTGTTATTTTATATAACTGCTGTCACAAAATAAAGAACTCAAAATCTACAGCAGTAGTAGTAGCAAATCACTATAGTTGTAAACTAAAGGTAGTGGAGTAGAAGGATAATGTAGCAAAAAATCACTGGCTGACACAAGTTATAGCTCAATTAATTTTTTTAAAGTGGCCTAGCCACCAAGAGCTCTTTACTTGTTTGATTGTACGTATGCTTCCATTTAATGTATGAGTTTTATCTTGGAAAAACAAATCCAATTTGTGTACCATGTTTAGCTTCAGTTGAATCCTGGCCCGATGGTTCAGTCACATCATCTCTTTCAGGTGTCTGAAACAAAAACATTTCAAATTGCAGAATTACATTTGTTTGACCTTATTATTAAAACATATACTAAAGAAACCCTTTAAAAAGCTTGACATGGCTTCTATCATTGTCCTTAAATCTATGTCAGCACTATATATGGCCTTAAGTGAAGACGGGATAAGACAGTAAGGTATAACAGTTGATCAGTGCAGAGGGGATAAGGGACATTTCATTTCAGAGGATAAGAGCAGTCAACTTGCCCTTTACTCGCAAAATAAAAGCTGACTGTGCAAACGGTATATCAATGAAAGAGGAACATACAATGACACGGCTGTCTGACATTGTAGATATTAAGAACTACTTTAGCTTTTTACACCTCAGTCTATACCAAGCTTTTAGTCCCACAATAACATTTATTTTAAACTTTAAAAGTTAAAGCATGTGCAGAGCATCAGAGAGCTTATTTACAAGTTTACATTTGATACAAAACAAGTTGCTTCTTCTTCAGCCTAGCATTAGCATGATGTTTATAAATCATATCTGGTGTGAATGCATGCAAAATGCTCTGTTTGGAATGTGACAAAACCGGAGAGACCACATTTGTAGGTGGCCAGGCTCGCATTGTGCATCGTTCCTCAGATATGTGTGAATGTGATCCGTGCAGCATGACCACAATTTAAAGAAGAAAACCTGCCCAGCGAGTTGACACTGCAGGTCACCCAACTCTTCCTATCGGCCGAATGTCTTTGACAGAAACGACAGAGAGAATCTAGTCTTCTTCTAGTCTATAAATGCAAAAGCCTGCCATGACTCAGATAATGCATCCAGATACAGATCATATGTAAATATTAGCACTCACTGTTATAAGGTTATGCTCCAGCTGTTGTATCCTGGCAGCAGTTTCCTCATGTTCTGTGGTATTTCTGTCAAGTTGATCTGAAAATTGAAGATTCATGTTATAGCATCTTAATAAAAAGGCTTGACACAAACACATTATGTTATAAACAAACACAAACACATTATGTTACCATGAAGGGTTTCCATGGTGTGGGTGAGATGTGCACAGCGTTGCTCGCTCTCACTGCGTTCCTCTCTCAGCCTGGTCAGTTGTGTCTCAATAGTCTGCACAGTGTCCAGGAACAGGGAGAGGTCAGAAGGGACGGGGACTTCCTCTGCTGCTTGCTCATCCTCGACAGCCAAAAAGCGAAGATGTTTCCAAATCTCAGCCAAGACCTCCCGCTTCTTCTGGGCATCTTCATGTTCCTCCTTCAGCGAGGCCAGCTCCTGCTCCAGTTTATCTACTTCTGATTGCTCCCTCTCTGAGGCGTCTTCGCTGGAATGAACAACAGCCTCTCTCAGGGATGCAAGCTCGCTTTCAAGCCGCAGTATTTCCGCCCTGTCGCTCTCTGAAGCATCATGGCTGGCTTGTACAGCTGCAAATTCAGCCTCTTTCATCAGAGACAGCTCTCTCTCCAATCTGGCAAATTCCATCCTCTCCCTCTCCAGAGCTTCCAGATTCCCATGCTCTGCCTCTCTCAAAGCGGCCAGCTCACCATCTTGCCTCACCAGCTCCGCCCTGTCCCTTTCGAAGTCCTCCAGGCTGGATCTGAGGGCTGCCACTTCTGCATCGGCCCTGCTGGCCTGTCCGCTCCACTGCTGCCTCTCCTCCTCCCGCTGCATGGCGGCCTCGGCCAGCTCCTGCTCCATCTGCCGGAACTGAGCGGTCAGGATCTGTGCAGAAATTAGACAAGAGAGAAGGAGGACTTGAGTGGGTGTGTTTTTTGTGGCTACGCCAAACAATGCATAATAATGTTGTGCCATCAAGATGAGGGTGTGTCTGTTTGAACAGTTTTCTTTTCATCTAGCAGGAGCAAGAATAATTGCAACATGTGCTGCCAGTGTGCAGAACAGTCAACATGCACTAAATCCAGCTCTGTACCTGTTTCTGTTGATCAGCGCTGCTCACTTCCTGCTGCAGCATTTCCAGCACTTGGGATCGAGAGTTTAAGGCCTCCTCGAGCTCCTCACAGCGCCTCTGTGCTGCATTCAGGGCCTGGGAGAGCAGAAAAACATAGTGACCAAATGATTGTATTAATGGTGAATTAATCTGTGATGTGTGGACATCATTTGCTATTTTACAAGCTAAAAAAAAACATTGCTTGTTGTGTTCTCCCCCTTAAGATGATCAGAAGCAAATTCCAGTGATTTGCCAGTTATCCATTTTCCTTCAGAATAAAGTGTTTAGGTTGTGTTCATCTGCGATGTTAGGACTAGAAGGTGTTATACTGTATGTTGCAGAGATTGTACTGTAAAAGAAAAACTAAATTGACATTTCATTAACCTATGTTTATTTGCGGTAATAACAAGCAGACTAATTGATAATCACCATATTAGTAAGTTGTAGCTATACAAATAAACAAAAAGAGAATAGAAAGAGAAGGAAAACCAAACTAATTCTTGGAGTAGGGGTAAAATGGGTTGATAAATATATAATCCTCACTTTGAATGCAAGTTATTTAAAGCACTCTTGGATGTTGTACCTGCTGAAGCTGGCCGTCACTCTGAGACTGTGCTGTGAGCAGCTCTTCTTCATGTTTCTGGATCTGTTCCTGGAAACGCACGTCCTTCTCACAGACCACAGCCTGCAGTTTCTGCAACTGAAAACAAAAGCACAAGAATTCATTTAGAAAGCAGAATCATGAATGAACTCTGTAATTGTTTTACACAATATGTCTATATGTTGCTATAAACACAGTGATGTCACCTGTTCAGCGTGGGCAGATTCCTTGTCCTGAAGGGTTTGCTCTGTGGTCCGGAGTCGCTCCTGCAGCTCTCTGCTGTTCGCCTCCTCCTCCCTCAGCCTGTTCCTCAGTTCTTGGAGCTCCTCCTCGACTGCAGTACCGGCTCCAGTGAAAGAGCTGTCTGGACTCTGCTGTAGACAAAACAGATGTTGGAATCAGATAAAAGCATTGAGCCTTATTGTTGGTTTTTAGTGAACAAGGGGCATATCTCAGTCTATATAGGAACTGAACTATAGGAACTATACAGGATACTGGAGGATGTTTTGCAACTATCATACAACCATGACCATTTTAAGTGTTCATACACACATTTAAAGAAGAAATTACAGCACTCTCTACGTACTTTTTTCAATTTTCAAGGATTACACTCGACATGGTAGGCACTAGTGATGGGAATTATGGCTCTTTGAAGGGAGCCGGATCTTATGGCTCCGTTCCTTTCAAAGAGCCGTTCAAAAGAGCCGGGGTTACTAGGTTTATCTGCGAAATAATCACCAGGATAATGATTGACTGTATTGCCAGACCTAATGTCAATAATCTGCATTGTAAACATGACACAAGGTGGCGCCATATCAATGTCATTCATGTCAGTGAATGTACTTTGAATTTACCCTCTGTATGTGTTAAGTAAATAAAGTTGCCTTGCCTTGAATGAAATTCACGCAACTCTTAATATTAGATACTGTGTTTTTAAGTGGCGATGGAGATTATTCGTTGACCCTGCTTTAAAGGATATATGCTTTTACAAATGGTGCGCTTTATCACTGCCTGGGTTTTGGTTGAAGTGCATCCAAATGCTGCTGCGTTTTCGCATTTGGCTCATTTTCCATCCGAAAAACACGTCGTCTACCTGTCCTGTACCACTTGTTATGACTTCTCTCTCTCGCGTATTCCGTTAAGAACCACCCCACCTCACTCCTCGTGCTGAAACCTACCAATCAGAGTAGGGGCGGGTCTTCACAGAATACATTTGGGGAACAAAATCAAGCTTTTTAAAAGGCGAGTGGATTTTGGCAGGCAGTGAGTGCGGACCAACGATTGAACGATAAAAAGAACGGCTCTCACCAAGTACGATTCGGTTCCCCTCGTTCGTACCAAAGAGCCGTTCAAAAGAATCGGCTCGTTCGTGACCGACACATCACTAGTAGGCACCTTGTATTAAGCCTTATTCAAACTTACTGGTGCTCCTCCTTGTCCTTTCAGCTCAGTGATCTGTTTGCTGAGTGAAGCCATCTTGGCTTTGGCCTGCAGTTTGAGTTTGGTGAAGCGGGCCTCAGCTTCGTCTTTCTCATTCTGTGGATATAAAGCAAAAAAACATTAGCGCTAATTGATAAAAGACATTGGCATAAAGAACACGATTAAGAGACTTTTGGACTCTCGATAGCAGACTCACACACAAAGATTATTTACCTTGAGCTTTGCATCTTTGTCAGACAGCGCAGTGTCTTTTTCTCGGATGAGCTCCTTCAGCTGGACCACCAGTTGTTCCAGATGAGCCAGCCTCTCCAAGGCCTCCTCAGGGGCCTCTGACTCCCCTGGAGCCTGGCCCTCACCGGCGGGGAGCTGAGGCACCAGCATGCCCTGCTCAAGGACAGAGAGAAGGTCCGTTTATTTGTTATGGTTAACTTTGTAAAACGAACCTGTAAAAACAGCTGAAATTGAACCAGATATTATTACATCTTTAGCTGAAAAGTAGAAGACACACTGAGCAAAACCCTTCATAATGATTTTTCATATTGTACTGTTGCTTTCTCACCTGTGGGTCTCCATCTTGGCCCTCCTCTCCAGAGAGCTCCTGGAGGACTGTGGCCAGACGGCTGAACATAAAGATGCCACTGCGAGGGGGAACAATATAACATCAGTAATGATGGTCAAATGTTTCCTTATCTGCTTCTAAAACATTGATTCCCGTTTACATTTAGTCAATAAGTGTGATAAAGAATTCCATGTTCATGGCTCCTTCTTTAACTGTGCGTAGGAATTTAGTGTTGTTACAATTGTGTAAAATGTTAACAACTTAGAATGAACATGAATATTACATTATTTTCTATATTTTGTTATTTTCAGAACAAGGCATTTTGCAGAACCATGCTTACAGAAATAACTATTCAACTTATTCTGTGCTAACATTTTCCCATATGTTGTACTTATTTGCATTTCCCCCTCACGCAAATATGTGCAAAGCAACACATTGGCAGAGATCCCCAACCTATCTTCTCCGAGTTGGATCGAACAGAGCCGACTTCCTCCGAACCAGCCTGACTTTCCACTGCGGCTGCGTCACTCTTTTTGTGAACAGCAACGATTATAGCTAGCTAACGCGAAAATGGACGGCAAACTTTGCAAGAGGCTGGACAACGGTGTCTTTAAAAATTAGAAGACACATATTAAGATAAAGAAACAGCAGTGTTAAGGAGACACTGTGCCAAGACACCCGGTGTTTACTCTGGCTGTAGTTTGCACAATTACAGTAAGTAAGCTAATGCTACTTAATGCTATCTAAAGCTGGTAAATAAGGACAGCTTCTTTAAAAATGCACAGCTGAGTTTTTCTCCTTGACGGATGACAGCTCTACTTTGCAACCCAGTGACTGGTGGAGCTTTTTTTTTAAAAGAAGGACATTTTGACTCACCTGTTCGAGTGCTTTCCAGGTGAATGTATCTGCTTTTTATGTGATATATTTCCTCGGATGGATGTCAGAGCATAGCCACATCACCAAACATTCCCGGAAACAACATTTCCTGTGTTCTGATTGGACAGCCGGGATCTGCGTGTATAAGGGACTGTCTGCAAATTCACAGGCGTGTACTTTCTAGGGAGTATCTGCATTTAATATACTTTAAAAAAAACACATTCAATTAGCCTCCAAACAGTATAATGATGGCAGGGCATGAACAAAGTTTGATCATGATCATCAACCATGCGAAGCAGCTTGGGAGGAGTCTGCTGCTGCTGTTTCACTACACCACAGTGTTTGTGGCCTTTGTGGGGCGCACAGTGCAGTGGATGGTGGACGCAGTGAAGTGGACCAGCCTGTTTGCACGCTACACAGTGTCAGTGTTTGACTCCATCTACAAATATCTGCACTGGGGAAGGAGGATAAGTGTCGCTGGTGGAGGTGCCAGAGAGATCTGCACGAGCTCTGACATGGATCATCAACATTGACTAAACTTATTTTAACTGTGTTGTTTACACCTAAGGCCAAATTGAGACAACCACAAAGACCGCACCGTGAACCTGAAGGGGATTTGGAAACTGAATATGAAGAAGGATAATGAGGCCTTACTGAAAACATATAGCTCTTTACTTTTTTAAGCTTTTAAATATAGCTATTTGTTATATGTGGTTACATAATGTGTATTCCATCATTCGAATTTGTCTTAAAGCTCTTCCAAAATGTTGGAAAAATATTGCTCTATTTGTGAGGTAAAATTGTTGCTGCGTTTCGTCACTCATATCTGCTGTTAATGCAAATGGGTTACAGGGTAATGCAAACTAGAGTAAAATGTGTTGCCTCTTCCGAATCTCATTATTGCACTACAGCAGGTGTAGGATTTTTTATTAAAAGCTACATACCAGCCAAATGTTGATTTTCTTAAATCGGTGCCTGTCTGAAGCATATTTAATTTTGCTGCAAAATATATTGTTTTTGTCCAGCAGGCCAATTCTTATGTGGTATTAGTAATGAAAATCCTTGAATGAACAATGAGCTTCCTGTGGAGATTATGCTTCCTGTGGTTTTCCTGTTATAATCTGAAACTCTTATCCTATTTTGCAAGTTTTATGGCCAGTTACGCTGCTCCTGAATGTATTCCAGAGGCAACTACTATTAATTAAACCATTCTTTAAATGTCGATGTGAGAAATTACAAAATTGGAAGTGAAATGTTGCTTTAAAAGGACCCACAGCTGCATTTACTAATGACGTTTTTATTTTTTGTTTTGTATTAGTGCATATATTTTAATATCAATATTTTGATAGCTCATTTAGCTTCCAGTTTATGCACTAACATGTATATATCTGTGTTATTTGTCTGTTTTAATGACTAATGAAGTTTTAAGAATGCATTGTTGGAAACATTAACTGCACTTCTATCTGCTGAATACCACTAACACAATACTGCTTAGGAAGATATGAAGATGGATTTATTATTTTACTTGTTTCTGGTATCATCACTGAGATCAAAAAGCGTTTTGCATTGTTTTTAAAGTAATGATACTAACTGTTATGTTTAATAAGTCACTGTAACAATCAGCCATGCCTTCTTGGTTTTAAACTGTGGTATCCCAATAAAATTCTCTATCGAATATATAGTAATGTTTTTATTTACAGCACCTTTAAAAACAAGGTGATTCACATGGTTAAACAAAAACTAACATAAGATACATGAACTATGCAAGGGTAATTATCACATTTCAAAGTTATTTGGTAAAGTGAGATGGTATGATTATAATAGGAAGTCGCATGTTAAGATTGTAGGCATACAACTGAATAATTTTCACTGTGACGAAGTAATAATACTTAGGTTTTTCAGTTTAAATATAGAAAAATAGAAATGTTGGTATGATGTGGTAAGACAGTGTTATAGACGTAGTACTGTATATAACCCGAAAAATCCCAAAAGTAATACAAAAAATAGGCTAAAACGGAAGAAATAAATACTGGGGAAAAAAAGCATCAAGGTGCAAGATATGTTTTGAGACATTATTTGAAAGACGTTACTGATTCTGCAAATCTCAGAAATAATGTTTTACAGTGGTCAATACACTTTTAGCCTGGAGGGACTGTACAAAAAAAGCTCATGTTAACTCTGGTATTTCCATCTTTTCTCCTATTTTGAACAATCCGGATCTTAGCAAATATTTGTTGTCAATCGATATAAACAAATGGACGAAATCAGGTATAAAGCAATTGAAACATTTGTTTCACAAAGATATAACAATCAAATCATTTAATGATTTAAGAGCAGAATATGACATTTCAAATAAGGATTTTTTCAGATACCTGCAAATTAGGAACGTGATCCAATCAATTATTAAAAGAGACCGGGATTGTTAGAAGAGGAGGAGATATTGATGTCATCGAGCACGATCAAAGGTAAAATTAGTGAATTTAATGCAGTTTTTTCTAAAAGAGCTCAGTCATCATTTCTAACCTTAAAAAAGATCTGGGAAAAGGATTTAGGGATACAGATAGATGAAACTACTTGGCTGAACATTTGTGAAAGAACACATTTTCCATTCACAAGCAATAAAATCAAAGAAGCAAACTTTAAATTTATCAACAAATTCTACCTCACACCCATAAAGATGCATAACATTTCCAAAGAAAACTCTCCAAAATGTCCGAGATGTAAAATAAAAGAAGGAACATTTATGCATCTGTTTTGGGATTGTGACCTCTTGAAACATTTCTGGGATTCGATTCATGCTCTCACAAAAGCCGTTTTAGACATCGAAATTAGCCTAAATCCATGTTTTTTCCTGTTAAATGACATGCCAAACTTTAAACTGAACCCAAAACATTACAGAATACTAATCACAATAACATATTTTGCCAAGAAATGTATACTTTTATTCTGGAAGAATGAACGTCCCCCAACATTTAAACTTTTCATTGATCAGATAACACATTTTTTACCTCTGGAGAAAATGACATTGGAAAAATATAATCGTGGACATATTTTTCAAGCTCTGTGGTTGCCATTGTTTTCGTATTTGGAAAACATATCTGAGATATGACCAGTGATGGAATGGTGCATTCTGTGGCTATTTGTCCTGACGGCCGGAAATACGTGTTATGGTGTTGTCATTGTCTACATTGTCACTGTATTGTATAATTATTTGTATTGTATAATTATTTGTTTGTTTTACTTGTCTGGTTTTTATTTTATTTTTTATTTATTTATTTTTTGGTTCTATTTTTTCCTTTTCCTTTTTATGTTTATTTTCATGGCTCTGTTGTTTAAGTTATATTGATAAGCATTTTTTGGTTTTGCCTGTGCGGGTATGTGTGGGTGGAGGGAGGGAGGGAGGGAGGGGGGAGTGTAGTGAGTGTACTGTGATATTACAATATAAATGAAATGGCATCGATTATTGTACACTATAATGAAATAAAAAGACTTGTAAAAAAAAAAGCAGCAACTAAAGATCAGTTTTTATGAATTCTCAATCTGCTGAGTAGTGTGTTTTTTAATGTGCATAGTGTAAAACAAGAACACAACACCTGCTCCACTCATACTGGAGTCCTCAGTTCAGATGCATTATGTGATGGATGTCCCTCGTCTCCACGTGACGGATGAAAGCTGCATCTTGTGTGTCAGCAGTTCTCGTGGTAAATATGGATGGAGAAGTCCACCTGGCCTTTCAATGGGCCGATTATGCTGATCATCTGCCTCTGTCCGGCTTACAGACAGTGATTAGATCTTTATATATACAGTCTATGGATTAGACCCAAGGAGGACGTCCCCAGCTACAAAAGGCCCCCCCATCAGCTGCTGCTCTCCCCCTTAGCCCTGTTGTTGTGTGACTGTGACGAGGGATAACATCCCCTTCACAGTAGACCAGCAGCTGCAGAAAAAAGGTTCAAGGTATCTTCTCCCTACACACTCAGGTGTCAAAGAGGAATGGGTAACTCATCCTCAAGCACCGTGGACGACCTGCAGGCGGTGGAGATGCACCTCTGGTACAAGAAGTTCATGACGGAGTGTCCCTCGGGTCAGCTCACCCTGCACGAGTTCAAGCAGTTCTTCGGCCTGCGAGGCCTGGACCAGGAGGCCAACACCTACATCGAGCAGATGTTCCGCACGTTTGACATGAACAAAGTAAGATTCTGTACATTCAAATACAAAGTTCAAGAGGGTTTAGACTTCGGTTGCAGAGAAAGAACGTTTTTTTTTTATCTGAGAGGGTCAGGATTTGATGGTATATGCAGAGATGGCAAAAGTACACACATCCTTTACTCAAGTAGAAGTACAGATACTCATGTTTAAAAATGCTCTGGTAAAAGTAGAAGTACTGACTAAACTCCTTTACTCAAGTAAAAGTAAAGAAGAATGGGCTTTGAACTGTACTTATGTAAAAAAAGTACCCCTAACTACCAGCTGTTTTAAAGAGTACCTGACCTCCCTTTATATGAATAGAACAATAATGTCATTGTTAGCTAATGAATGTTTCCATGCTGAACAACGGCAACATGACAACGTTTTCATTGGTCCCTCTTCTTTAGAGAAGACCAGGAAATGATGGATACACGGATCGTGTTCAAATCAATAGGCACGCAATGACTCTAAATAATAATGATCACGCCACCAAACACAGATTAAAACTAAAGTAAGCCTGTTTTGAAAATGTAAGAAGTAGAAAGTACAGGTATGTGTGTTCAAAATGTAGTAGAAGTCAAAGTAAAAAGTCGTCAGAAAAATAAGGAGTGGAGTACTGATACCACTTAAGTACAGTAACGAAGTATTAGTATTCCACTACTTCCCACCTCTGGGTATATGTGGGGTTTCTAGTTTGCATCATGTTTTGCATTTCTTTCTACTCCCTTTTAAAGAGACAGAGTAAACTAAATAAATACCATGTGGACATAAAGACGTTATTGACATGAGATGAAGAAAGACTTAAGTTTGTGTGCATCAGTGAGTTATTCTGTCTTTATTATCTACACTGAATATAACAATTATTACTCAAACAAGCGGTTCAGTTATCTCCCAGCTACACGCTTGTAAACCCTGGATCATGTTTATTAAGATTGTCTAGGAGCATGAACAGGGTCATCGCTATATTTAGGCTCCCTTCAGCTCACAAAAGGTCATGTTCATCTCTCTGCATGATTTCAACTATGGGATTATCTGTGAGATTGTTGATGTTGTTTGGACAGTCCCTGGAGATGACCCTGTGGCACACTTTATTTCACACAGATAGAATTTGAAAGTTGAAATGAAGGGGCCGTCTTCAGTGATTTTTCTCTTTGAATGTGTGAAAATAGTTAAATATTAATCAGACGGCGATGTATAATAATTGATTGATGTTTTGCCCCACTTGTTTTTGCAGGACGGCTACATAGACTTCATAGAGTATGTGGCTGCTCTCAGTCTGGTGATGAGAGGGAAGATGGAGCACAAGCTGCGCTGGTATTTCAAACTCTATGATGTGGATGGTAACGGTTGCATTGACCGGCATGAGCTCCTCAACATCATAAAGGTACAGCATATCATGCACTCTCTATTTTATAGCAACTCATGGTCTCATCATGGCATACTGATATACTCTGTTCCTGCAGGCTATCCGTGCTATCAATGGGAATGAAAGTCAGGAAGTTTCCGCTGAGGATTTCACTAACCGCGTGTTTGACAGGATCGATATAAACGGAGATGGTGAGTGTGTGAGATTTAGAACATTGGGTGGACAGTGTTGAGACATTTATCAGCTGTGAGGCTGTCTTGAGGCTAAAATCTATGGAAGGCCAGACATAAAAAAAAAGAAAATGTTGGTGCAATTTCCTTTATTTTTAACAGTAGTATTTATTTTATTCTCAGAAATTCAACTTTAATCCTAAAATGTCAAGTTAATTTTCAGTGATTTAAGAATTTGAATGAATTATTATTGATTAAATGGTTCTTATACAAAATGCAACTGAATAAAAAAAACGTAATGAATAATAAATGTTCATATTCATTTTTTCTCATGGTAGGCACTAATTCTCTTCTGTAGAAAACCAGACAATCACAACAACACAATATTATGTGGATGGCTGTTGAACTTCCAACAATCCTTAAATCGTTACCAAAGGAGGTTAATTCAACAAGTACAATGTAATACATGAAATGCAATTTTAAAACGGGGGTGTGGGACTTTTTTTACTTGACTTAATTTGGGAGAAAACTGCATGTTTTTAACGTCTTTTCCCTCTAACAGGTGAGCTCTCCTTGGAGGAGTTTGTGGCCGGTGCTCGAGGTGACGATGATTTCATGGAGGTGATGATAAAAAGCCTGGACCTGACCCACATCATGACGATGATCCACAACAGGAGGCACAGCGTTTAGTGCCTACCCCGATGACTTTATCCTTATACACAATTCAACCTGAGGGTTCAGTACATGGCCTCTGAAGAAAAGGTCTTTCATAGACTGAGATTTCTATAAAGATTTAAACCAGGTTATTGTAATTCTGCTGCAAACTCTGACATATCTTATTTCTAACCTATAAAAGAATCACATATGCATTTGGATGATTCAGTCAACCTTTGCAAAGTGGTACTTGTCTGTTTATCGTCGCTGAGCTCTCCCAAGGACACCTTGGCACGAGGGATGATCTCTCAGACGGTCCACTTACCCACAGATTCCCTCAGGGATTATTAAACAGGGAGAAAGTGGAGCAGAGTGGCAGTTATATGCACTTAATGCTTTCCAAATCTGTATTTTCTGGGCGTCTACATCAAAATACTTGAATGACTTTTTACTTGTTCTTGCCCGTTGGGTTAACAGGAGGAGACTTTGCAGCGTAAAGTACACAAACAGGTAAAAGTGTCTGAAGAGATTAAGCAGTGTTCTCATGTTTACCTTTTTTATCCTTTTTTTAAATAAAGCTGAAGCAGAAGACAAAATACCAGCTTGTGATTGTGTGGCATTTAGGTGTGGGTGTGTGTATTATCTTAATAACTTACTGCCTGTTCAGCAAATCCCATGACTTCAGTATACAACCTCATACAACAGGATCAACAAATATGACACGTTGTGGAAAGTGAACCCTCCCTTTAAACAAGTACGATGATTTTCCTGCACGGTGCCAAGGTCGCTCCATGTAATGCACACGTGGTTAACCTGCATCTTTTTCTCCCATTATTTGAAACAGGATTATCTACTGGCTCTCTTCCTTTTGTAATAAAAAAGAAAAGGAATGTAAACCATAGTATTACGCTTGATATTTCCTGTAAAAACATAGAAAAACTAAAATAACTAAAGCAAACTTGCGAATATGGCTTTTATTTTATACAAATGCAAATATTAAACATTATTATTAACAGTCATGAGACAAGGAAAACAGGGTTATTCTTTAACCACAAGGGGGCAGCGACATAATTGGATTATTTTCTTACACAAAAAATCCCAACAACAGTCCATCTCCTGATGCTGCTTATCTTGAAATGTATATTACCCTCTTTTGTCTTTCTGTCACTGTGTCTTGCCTTTTTCTTTTCCTCAGGGGGCTCACAGGAAGTCATAAAGGTATTTGATAATCTCAAAATTCACAGTCCTGGAAGATAAAACAGACAAAGCATATCCTCTGTGAAAAAACTCGTAATTTATTTTCATTTTCAGTCAAATGTGTATTAGCAGACATACACACACACCTGGAGATGGCACAGATGAAGTCCATAGAAACGGCACATTTGTATTTTGGGGCATCGATCTGGTCGCCATGACTGACCTGCGTCAACAGCTGCAGGGTCACCAGAGAGGAGATCTGACGGAGAATCGAGGGAAACATTAAATGCCTCTCCGTTCCACTTCTTTTAACAGCTTTGCCTCACTTTGAAGCACTAAATGACAGCCAGTAGCACAGATATGTGTTGAGCCTAATTTCATAAAACCATTTCATGCTCGGGGCCATAAATAGATCAACATTTGGCCTCAGATACGAAACGTATGACCATATGGGTAGAACACTCTAATCTGAGACACTGTGGCCACTAAATTTGATTTAACATAACATAGTGTGTCATTTGCTCCCAGAAATGGGAAAAATTACAATTTAAAATCCTGTTAAAATGACAGTGTATGTTCGCATTTTATTTGCTTAACTGGCAAATAGGGAAACAAGCATGACGTTATTTTTAAAATATTCTGTAGAAGCTACTTCACAGACCCAGGAGTATTCCTAACTTTCAAAGTCACAATCATAGAGAAAGATTGAAGGCACTGTAGGGCCAAATAAAATAATAAATCATCCCACTACAGAGCTCAGGTTAACAGATTAGGACATGATGACATCAAAATGTCCATCCAAAAGTTGTTTAGGTATTTCAGGCTGTAGAGAAATGGCAAACCAACACACTCTCAGACATTTCCATCCCTACAGCCATACTGTACCACTAGCACGGCTTAAAAAGCTATGAGTCACGTATGAGATGCCAAAGAGAATCAATTGAAATTATGCAGAAACATAAAACAAATGGAATAAGATGTGATAGAACGTGCCAAAAAAAACGATCATTATTCATTTACGGTAATCTTTTTTTGCGTTTGAAAGTGTCTCGACCCTGACCTGGGAGAAGATGCTGGCAGTGGGGGCCACTCTGCTGTCCACCACGCTGTAGAAAATGGCGAGTAGGCGATCCAGAGGAAACGGCTTCGGCCCTAGAAGGTGGTTACTAGTCTAGAAAACAGAGACGGAACATATTAAGATTATATAACAGTTTATCTTAAATGTGCAGAAAGGGCAGTGTTATGTTAAGATGATCACCTTTTCATTTTTCTTCAAGAAGTTTGTTTTCTTTATTTTACCGTGGTGCTGTTGGGGGATAACAGAGCAACATTAAACTCACACAATAACACTTAAAGGTGGGATAGGTAAGTTTGAGAAACCGGCTCGAGATACACTTTTTGTTATATTCCATGGAATGCTCTTAACATCCCGATAGCAATGAATATCTTAAGTGCTTTGACAAAAAATCCATAAAAAAATTCATCTGTGGAAGCCGTAATACTGTAAAAAGCACGACCAATCATTTTAGCCGGCCTGGCTAAAATGATTGGATGGCCTACCTGCCTGTCAGCCTTCCATCGGGGCACAAACTTATCTCGTGCCCTCATTGGTCATGTGCGCGTTCGTGTGTGTTGGAGGAGGGGCTCTGTAAGGAAGTCTGAAGGAAGTGGCAGATTTGTTCCGGTTGTGTACTTTCAAATTCTAGCGCACTCGAGCTGGTTTCTCCAAAATTACCTGCCCCACCTTTAAAGGGCTTTACAATCTGTACAAGATACCAATATTTATAATATAAAACTGCCGTACCTTTACAAAGAAGCGTTTGTCTGTGCGGGCAGGGTTGAAGGATGCTAGGTAGGCAGCAATCAAAAGGAACTTGGAGTAATAAGGCAGCTCAACATGAGTGTGGGCGGACAAACCTGAAGGGAAATAAAGGAATGACTCAGGTGTACTGTGCAGTGTGTCCGGAAAATGTAAAAAGACTTTCATACAGTACATCATGATGCTCAGCAACCCTACATTTAGTCATACAGTACATTGATTAATACGGTGGGATTCATTTTTATGCCGTTCCCAATTTGAGCATTAGTACAGAATGTCAATGCACCTGTTTTAGCAGTTTAACATCTGCTCTGCAACCGTATTACATCATTAGATTCAACAGCGCTAAGTGTGTGTTGGTACCTTTCACTGCTCCATTCTCCTTCTCCTCCATTTGCTGCATCTGCTCCCACTGCAGGCTGAACAGAGAACAGGGAATTATGAACACAAACCACAGCAGCAGTAAATACGCTGATTCAGGTTGTTCACCAGGAGGCAGCAAACAAGCAGCAGTGCTAGAACGAGCCGTTAGATCAGAAAGTGACATGGTTCATTAGCAGATTGATGTAAAGCCGACGGACCTGGACACTTCCCGCAGGTAAACAGTCTGCATGGCTTTTTTCAGATGAGGCTCGATGTTTCTCCACAGCTTGTGAGTGTCCGTCTCTTTCACTGAAGACATAAACAGAAGAGCATTGATGAAAAAGCCACATTAAGAGCATACAATCAGTTTAAATTGCTTATAAGAGAATAGATGTTATCAGGAAGAATAGGAACATGTAATTGCGTAACGGTTAAGGAGGGGTTACGTTTGTTGTGATAAATACAAATATCACCTTACTCTGCAGTCTCCAATGAACTATGAGGCTTTTTAGCCTTATTTAACTCATTGTTTCGGATATAAGAAAGACATAGGTGTCAAAGATACAGATTGTTTTGTCAACAGAACAAAATAAGCTATAAAAACAGTGATTGTTCAACTTCATTTATAATTCTATTACATTTAGATGTTATGGTTTGCCTATATTTTGCTGAAGTGCACTACTAACTGCAGTGAAGATACCAAATTGAGGACTGTAACAGAAAAGTATTTTACTCACTTACAATAATTATATCATTGTGTGATTCTTACGTGCTAAAGTTAATCTCTATGTTAGCCAGAATGCTCTTTACATTATCGCCAAGCTTGACCCCCCCTCTCTCCTCCATCTGTAGTCAAATATGCAACTCAAAGACAGCTGAATGGGTTCATCTTCATCCACATTTGATGAATACAATTGCCACCACAGGGACATAGTGATCGGTCCGCATATGTTATTATATGTATGGTGGATGTGAAAATGAGAAAAAGTTTGCCAGCATATTCACATCAACAACTTTATATGGTGACAATATTTTACTGTTGTGTTTACAGCTTGTTCCACTTCAATCTAATTAGCGGGGGGGAAATCAATGAATGCAGCTTTAAAAGAGAGAAATGCTGAAAAGTTCAAATAGCTTAAACTCATTTCAACAAGATTAAAAAGATCTCTCTTCAAATGAGCACAAATAAAAGGGTAAAATAGAGATTTGTTTATTATTGATCAGCTGTCAGATGAAAGAATACACCTCTTTATGTTTTACCTTTTCCTTCTGCTAACGGCTCGCAGAACTTTGAGAAGTTGAGAGCAGCCTGGTTGACAAGAGGAGAAAGAGAATCAATGATCCGAGACTGAAAGAAAATCAAAACTATAAAAAATGTTCTCTAATGTATGTGTGTGTGTGTGTGTGTGTGTGTGTGTGTGTGTGTGTGTGTGTGTGTGTGTGTGTGTGTGTGTGTGTGTGTGTGTGTGTGTGTGTGTGTGTGTGTGTGTGTGTGTGTGTGTGTGTGTGTGTGTGTCTGACCAGGTGTCGCAGCTCTCTGAGGTCTCGACACACCGAGTAAAAGACTCCCAGCAGGATGTTGATATAAGCCGAGTAAAACTCATCCGAATATGAAGGATTTCTGTCCTGGGCCAAAATGTGCTGCAGCTCACCTTCAAATACATAGAAATAGACACACTGTCAGTATAACTACTCACACAAAACGATATTTTAAAAAACAATGTTTCTTCTAAAAACAAGTACAATTCCTGTCGTGCTAAATGTTTTAAAAATACATGCATATACCTCTTCAGTCTCTGCCGTATGTGTAAGAACAAAGTCACAGGTACACATTTCACGCAGAATCCGCCAAGTGTGCCTCACAATTATGCAGTGTGAGGGGAGTTTATTCATGACACTGAAAGCTGATGTATCGTGTGTGTGTGTGTGTGTGTGTGTGTGTGTGTGTGTGTGTGTGTGTGTGTGCGTATGTGTGTGTGTGTGTGTGTGTTAAGGATGCTACCTTTACTGTAGTCGGGGAAATGGAGCAGAAGGGGCTCGAAACAGCCGGTGTTTGGTCTGAACCTGTCCCAGACGATTTCACTGAGCAGGATGACGGTAACGTTGTCCTCCACCTGAAGAGGTCCCAGAAGTAGAGATGTGTGATATAACATTGGTTTGTGCTACAAGGGGATTCAGTGAGTGTGTCTCCATGGCTACAGACATTGCTACCTCATTCAATTATTGTTTAGTTGAAGTCTTTTGACATTTTAATAGCTCTACTCATTTGTTTTACCGTGACAATATCATTTTGTGCCATGAGGAACAATGATGGACAGTTTGAAATGGGCAGCTAAAGGATCCCTATAAACAACCCATCAGATCAAAACTGCTGTTACAGGAATAAAACACAAATAGTCTTTGTCCTCTATATGTCCTCAATTTAAATGCTGTGTGGGATTGCCATCTTTCTTCCGGAACAACATTATTAAAGCGCTCCACGCACTCAGCTCCAGATCATTTATAACAAAGGAAGCTCCTCCAGTCCCCGTTCATCATCTGCAACAACATTAGAGCTGCTCGCTTGATAGATGACACAAAGAGCGTGCTGCACTTTCTCACCAGTTCCTGAAGACGCAGGAGAGCAGGGAGGAGATTGGCAGCAGAGTCTCTCAGAAGCTCTGCTTTTTCCATTACCTGAAAAATATATACCAGAAAAAGTGTGATTATGTGAAAGGTAATGTACTCAGGAGTCTTCCTTTTTTAGTTTGTTTCCTCATGGTTGAATCCACTTATTGTAGGTCGCTTTGGATAAAAGCATAAGCAAAATGTAATGTAACTCATATCTAACAAACTAGAGGTTGTAAAAGGCTGTTTTATATGCTGTGAGCTTTAAAATATAGTAAGCCAACATTCTAGACTAAACCTCCTGATGATGGCTGGAAATTCGACTATTTTTCTCCAGGCATTATGCATCTGGAGCATTGTTTAGCGTCTATTTGCATTTCTTATCACTACTAATCATGTTGCCATACATTTGAGTGACACATCCCAAGAATAATACATTTGATCTGCCATGGATTACAGTATTTTGGTGTGCCAAGTGAGGAGCGATTTTCTGGTTGTGCACGGCACTCACAATGTATCGCGTCTGCTTGGCAGGAGACTGCGAGCTCTGCTGCCTGTAGATGCGTACAAAGTCAGACAGGGAGGGACTGCGGGGGAGCAGCGAGGCAGCATCGCAGCCAAAGAAGGACAGCAGCACTTGTTCAAACAGCAAGGCAACAGAAACACATTCAACACAGCTCACTGTGGCGTGGGGCAGCTGCAAAGAGGAGGAGGAAAAGACAATCAGTTTTGTATCTATGTGCAGTTAAATACACATCTTCACATTGTGTTGACTCTCCTTTGCTTGTGTTGCACACTGAACAATTAAAGTCCTTAATGAAAATCAAACACTCTAATTGTTACTGCTTTCCACTGCTGTGATTCAGCGTTACATACTGTTAGCAACAGACAGTCAGAAAAGAAAACAATTCAATTGAATATCAGATAAATTGTTAAAAAATTATTCAGGCAAAATGCGGAAAAGTTGCTGCTTCCAAATACTAAAATGAACAGAATTGCTGCTTTTTTTTTACTGAAATTAAAAAACAAACAGAACATTTTAAGTTTGTGTTAAACATTACCTCCAGTTCCTTCAGCAAAACATTCAGCACGTGACTCTTCCCTGAAGATTGATGACCATAGATGAAGATTGAGGGATAGCTGTACTGGTGTGGCTGTGAAATATGACATGTCAATATGATTAATGACAATCCAACAAACACTTTATTCTAATACAAACAACATAAATATTCCTTTATCAACCAAAACACCAATCCAAAATGGACAAACATGACTTGATTTAAAGTTACATGCAACAGTTACTCTTTTTTTTTTGCTGTTAATTTGAAATACATTACATTACATTACATGTACTTGTTAGACGCTTTTATCCAAAGCGACTTACATACATTCAATACTGTGGGCAATCCCCACAGGAACAATTTGGGGTGAAGTGTCTTGTCCAAGCACACAGCGGAATGTTTGACTGCAGCGGGATTTGAACCAGTGCCCCCCGTGATCCGAAGATCAGCGCACTGAGCCACAACCTCCCACTTACAAAATACACTTGTAAAGATTTTAAATGTAGAGTAAACTTAATACAATGATTGCTGTATTCCATTGTATAGTTGTGTTTTACTTTATTAAATGTGTTTCTTATCTTTTGTAAGGTATGTTAGAGTCCAATTAAAATGATTTGTGTGCAGGTGCTACAAATATTGTGTATCTTAGCTATACAATATAACATTGTTTTTTCAATGTAATTGTATAATGTGTTTCTCTTGTAATATATCTGTTGTTTTTTTGTAAGGCACTTTGTGTTTGAATGTCCTATATAAATAAACTTGCCTTGAATGATGGTGGGGCAGAGATTTATAGAGTGGGTGTACGTTTTGTGGCTGGCCGAAAATGCAGTTTGACAATGTGTATCCCATAACTAAGGCTATATGCTAAAACAATAATTCAACCCTGTCACATGTTGCCATTTCTCATTAATTTAGGTGAAGTCGAAGCGAAATAATATAGGTCCACTTTTAGTGTATTAATGCGCGCCCCCGCAGCCAGGATCTCACTTCAGATCGACACGAGCCTACATACCTGACCCATGAGCGACAGCAGCATCCCCGCCTGGACCTCTCTGCAGGGCAGCTTCTTTGAGACCGTCTGCAGCCTCTCCTCCTCATATCCTGGCTGTTGTAACAGCGCTGACATCATGTTCTCCGTACTACAAACCACAACACAGTGTTTAAGACTGTGAGGAGGTCAGTGACAAGCGGCTGCAAACAACCAGGCTAACGTTAGCTTTCTAAACGTTCACTGACAGCACACGCACAACCTCACACAACTCGAATTCAGTCAAAATGTGACCAGAACGAAACATATTTAAGAAAACAATGTACTGTAAACACGACAGGGCACTTTAATAATATATATACCAGAAAATAAACTGTGTAGCAAACGTAAAAAGCGATGAAAAGCTACATTAAAAGTTGAAAACGGTAACAAACAGGAGGTGGACTCTCACATAAATTTCGCGCGCGCCTTCAGATTACGTCAAATGACGGTGTCCGGTCACCAGCCAATCGCAGATCACACAAAGATTCATGGGTAATGTAGTTTTTAGCTCTAAAACGGTTATTGTGATATAAAGAACTTCAGAAGATTGTTTTTTAAACACACAAATACATAAATATACACATTGTACATATGTTTTTATTATTCTTTATGTATGGATGTGATGCACACATTATATATTATACTTACATGACAACTGTACAGCTTTATCTGCTGAGCAAAGTAGAAAGGAGAAAACATGAGAACATATAGTCTTTTGAATGATACATATAAACAGCATAAACAAAGGCAACATCTGGGAATATTGAGCTTTTATGGTTTTGTTATGATATCATTGGAAGCAAACATAATTAAAGGTCCATTTACGCCGTTCATTTACAGTCTAATGTTGTTTAATAGTTGCATTTTTTATGTACGGTAATTTCGAGGAGCATGTTCCCATACCGCTCTCATATAATTAGGGTAATGTGAAGCAGCTGTTAGAGGGGGATTATGTGAGCATTACATTTGGGGCTATTAGCCACACTGTTGTAGTTTGTTATTATTATGTGTGTTGAGATTTTGCGCGTGCTACTTGAATAATACGTCAGACGTGGATTAAGAGATGTGGGCTGGCCCTGTGCTATCCAAGGCTTTCCTCCTCCTCTGATTCACCTCAGCTGCAGCTGTTGGTCTGTCGGAGCTCAGACGGAGCATTTCAGAAGAGTGGATCCCAGACATGAGCCTGTGTGCCGGGGGAACAGCCTCTGGCTTTACACACGTTCCAGGTAACGACATATTTGATAAATCATCAGGACAAATGTCGGATGAATCCACTGGCTTCTGAATGGATTCCTGAAGCGTGTTTTTTCGGAGAGCGCGTTTCGTTTTTTGCAAGAGTGATGAATGAAAACCAGGAGGAAAACACCAGAAAACAAAACCCGACCTCGCCATGGATGTGAGGGTGCAGTGATGCTATGGAAACAGCTGTGACTGTATAAAGTCAGAATAAAAACCCTAAACAGCGACAAGTTCTGCAGAACACAGCATTTTTGCCTTTTACGGATCAGATGCTCAGATGTGAGTTCGCTGAATACATTGGTCCTGAGCACCGAGCAGACCCCTGCACTCAGACCGGAGGATGATCCCCGGGGTCCCCAGCACGATCACCACCATGATCCCCGCCTCCGAGGCTGCCAAAATCTACCAGACCAACTACGTCCGGAACTCCCGCGCCATCGGCACCCTCTGGGCTATCTTCACCATCCTCTTCGCCATCGTCAACGTGGTGTGCTTCATCCAGCCGTACTGGATCGGAGACGGCATGGACACCCCGCAGGCGGGATACTTCGGGCTGTTCCACTACTGCATCGGCAACGGGCTGTCCCGGGACCTGACCTGTAAGGGCAGCTTCACCGAGTTCAGCAGCATCCCCTCCGGTGCGTTCAAGGCCGCCTCCTTCTTCATCGCCATGTCCATGGTGCTGGTGCTCTCCTGCATCGGCTGCTTCTCGCTCTTCTTCTTCTGCAGCACCGGCACCGTGTACAAGATCTGCGGCTGGATGCAGCTGGCTGCAGGTAAGAGACTGGCTACAGGTTGGAGTTCTCAAAACACTTCAGTGTACTCATGAGATTCATAGTTCAAAATATTATGAGATGAGTTCTCTGAAGTTTAGAATACATATTCACACATTCTGCAACCAGAAATCTATGTTCTCCTGCTTTTTAGGTTTGAAGATCCGAGTAATGACTCAGAGCTTCAATAAAAAGCCATTGAAATACAATTACAGGTTTTATCTTTTATGACATTTTATTATTTATCAGGTCTAGATCTTTATTGAGTATTTGACTAGTTAATCAACAAAGTAAACACCCTTTTTTGATAAATGATACAAGTCGTTTTTATGCAAAAATCAAAGAAAAGGTGGTTTCAGTCTCTTGTACTATAGAGATATACAGGTTTTATATAATGGTAAACTGCATATCTTTGGGTTTTGGATTGTCAAAACAAGGCATAACCTTGGATTTCAAGAGGATTTGTTTCAATATTTTCTGACACATTATAGACCGAACAATGGAGCAATTTATCTAGAAAAGAATCAGAAAATGTACAATGAAAATAGGTAGAAGTTGCAACCCTACAGCCCGACATGCACAAAGTCTGCACCTAAAAATCTAGATGTTCTCCAGACTCCTCATTTGAGCTCTGTTGAGATGAGAACAATAAATGTAATCTATCAATCATAATATGAACTGAAATTGTCTACAATTACAGGTTTTACTCAAATCTCACAGCTAAGATTGCAAAAATTGACGAGGATACAAATGCAGATTGCTTTCACTTAAGATGTTTCGCCTGCTTTTTTTGTGTTGACGTCTCCAATGGTTTTGGCCACAGAGCCCTGTTATAGTTAAAGTAGTATTTGGTCCATTTTCTCGAGTCTTGGTCAAATATTATGTAACGATCTGAAGTGTAGGTGTAGTGGCCTTGAGGAATGTAAAACCTTGGATTGAAACTGTGAAAAACTCTCTTGGGTCCTGATGCCATTAAATAATAGTAAAAAAGTATACAAGCGTTTCTACATTGCATTTTTTTTGGGGAGGATTTTCTGATACCTGAATGTCAGAAATGTATCTTGAAGTAAAATACATTATGTGTAATACTTTCTTAGGCATCATACTGTTTCAAAGCAAATCCAGAATTTAGTCATATATCTGTAAACTCGACTCTGTAAGACTTATTAAACTGTCAACTAGAAATAGTTAAGTCAATTAAATGGGAAAATACAAATGATTCCTTTTCTCTAAATGAGAACAGAAAATGTATCTTACATCTTTAAACCCACCATGCACATTAGATACAAAAGAAAAACACATGTAAAAGGGAAATGAGGAAATACGATCAAAGGAAAAGCAACATGTGCCTGACCGAACTGCTTTTTTTTGTTTGAATGTTTTTTTTATTCAAAGCATCCTCTTTGAAGCAGATGGAGAAGATCTTGATTTCCTTCCAAAATGATATTTTCAAATAACTGGTGCAGCTCAGTTTAATATTTCAGCCAACTATTTCAGTACGCAAGGGATAATTAAAGCAAGCATTTGTGTTGATATTTATGAGCCTCAATTTTAAATGTGCTTTTGTTGCGACTGTTCCATCATCTGCTTACATACACGCATTTGAATCAGCGGGAGCTCAGAGAATAATTTTTATCATGTGATTTTAAAAAAACCTTTTGAGCATAATTTAAGGCTTACATTTTATTTTTTATTTGTGTGTTTATCCTAACATCACAATTTGAATATTTATTGATGCCTGCTTGTAAAGCCCAGATTGTTCTTAGAGGAGAATTAAACGTCACAACCAATAAATATCACATTCATAGCTTCTGTTTTTTCATGCAGAATAAAACAGCGGCTAAATATCCATTCGGATTTAGGGTGAACATGTGTCCCCGAAGTCTGTTGATTACCAGTTTTAGCAAAATAGTAACCAGAGGCTAATGTAATTCCACGTTGCACAAACCATTAGTCATAGAAATTAGGAGAGCCATTGGCCAGATGCGAGGCTATTTTAAAGCAGAAAAAAGCTTTTTCACTAAAGTATCTCGAAGTATCTCAGTTTTAAATTGGATTATCTTGGAGCAAAAGCACTATGATGAGCTCTTTCAGAGTCCTAATGAGTTCTACATCCTGCTAGTTTGAGGGGTTTATTTCACAGATCAAAGTTGCTTCTTATTCCTTAGAGTCACATGTTTGCTTTCTCCAGTTTTCCCACCATCAGAGAAGCAGATGTGACGGTTTGCACCACATTGATAAAGAAATAAATCAGATTTTCAGCTCACGTGGTTTTTGTTTAAGTCGTAAGGACTGGTGAAGAGTAATTAAGGAGGTTTATTGAAGTAGACAGTACATAAGTAATACATTTCAGAGCAAAACAATGTACATCTTACCCCACTATACTTGGCTAACAGATGTAGTTACTGGTTACATTTCAGATCATATTTACATATGAAATTGGAACCAAAAAGGTTATTTTATATAGACTGTTTGCTGATTATATTCGGTCCATCAAATGCCAGAAAGTGATACAAATGTCCATCATGACACTCCATTACCAAGATGATATATTCAAATTGGTATATTGTGTACTTACCAACAGTCTAAAACACAACATTTTGTTTCAATATCAGTATTAAAAATATATCCATTAATAAAAAGATATGTTACCCAGAGGGTAAAAAAAAAATGTGTATAATAATAATAATAATAATAATAATTAAAAAAAAAATTCTAGCAAAACAATTAAGGTTACTTATTTACAAAGTACAATTTGTAGTATATCTTATACTTTTACTCAAGTAAAAATAATCTTAATTGATCTTCAATATACTTTTGTGCACTCGCAGCCCAATTCAATGTGACTAATATCTCTTATTCTCAATACGGCTGCTGTTAAAGTGGCCATTTAATGGTTTTCTAGGCAACAGAAATAGCTGATACCGAGGTACTCTCTCTAAGCTGTCTGAAATCCAAACGTAATTGCAAAGATTTTTTCAAGTCCTCCCTGCCTGATGTCTTTTAGGGTGTATGAAGCTGCTGTGATGGGCGATCACTGGCAGCAAACAGAGCTCAGAGGCAGCCCTCCTCTCCCACAGAGGGACGTCCTGAATGTTTGAAGAGCTCTGCCTTGGTGGATTAGGGCTCTTTTTTTAACTATAGCCAATGTCATTGTTTCTTTGCGATTTTTAAACAACATCTGTGGTTATATAGTTTGCACAAATGTTTTGCATAACTTTGCACAGTAGCCGTCATTCTTCCGACAGATCTGCCTTAGGTCCCAGAGAGACAACTTTAATATATTATTCTTGTTTCTCCCCTTCCTTATGCTTTCGGTTCGGAATTCCTCAACAAACCACATTTTTAAAGCTTCTTATTTATTATTTAAAATCAGACATGATAATGTTAAATCGCATTTTTTTTTAAAACACACCTTCGCAGTCAGATAGATCTGAACCTAGTTAAACACCAACAGGAGATGTATTCATCAAACACCAAATGAGTGAATATCTTTTGGAAAAGCTGTTTCCTCTTTTAGAGACTTGTAATATATGCCAAGGAACTTTTTTGAAATATCGTGTAAGCATCACTAAGACATTTTTCTGCTATTAATTCATTTCACTTTCTAGTTTCTTCATATTTAGTTTTTATGAAATAGGGAGATTGTAAAAAAACAGTCTGGATATATAACCTATAACCTACAAGGTTATTAATGGCTTATTATTTATACAGAGAGCCATAAATAGGTGATGTATTTGCCATTGATAGATCCATTAGAAGCACTTAAAACGCCTTTTTTAAAGCATATCAGAAAGAAAACGGGACGATGCTCAGTAACCTGGACGGCCTCCAGAGCTAATGACCATCTGGATCTCACAAATTCACAGGCATGAATTTCTCCATGGCAGTAACAGCTGCAAATGTTCTGTATCTGTAAATCAGTAGAAGACCATTGAATCAGACGTTGGTCAGCTTCCTGTGCCTTTAGTGTAAGTGGTCTCGCTTTCGGAGCCAAAACAACATTTGTTGGAGTTTATTGATCTAAATGTTGATTTCCAGAATAGCCAGAGGATCCAGCAGGGGCAGCTGCTGTTCAGCTGTGTTGGTGTTGCGCTGTGAGAGTGACAGAGAACACAAAGGCTCTACTTGCCTTATGTTTGATGCATGATAACAGTTTGATAAAAGCGTCTGACTGACTGATGTCGTTATACCAATGCTCGGTGTGCCGTGCAGTATTCGATTTTACACCTCATCAGAAAGATGTCTAGTGGAACGGGGACGTGCTGCTTATCACGCCACATTGTGTGCTTAAAAAATACACCAAGACGCTATCACACTGTCTGCTGAGGAGAGAGATAGATAATGAAAACTGATCCAGGGAATGTTTGAAAGCTGAAATCTTCATTTTGTAAAACTTGTTTTCTGTTCATGTTGTAATCCAATAAGAAGTCAAGTGTACACCTTTTATACTCCTCTTGTCTTATCTGAGGTCAGAAATACAAATATATTATAGATTGTATGTTATATTTCTTCATGACAAGATCTACGTAATACATTTTTATTAATTCATTTATTTGTTTAGAGTAAAAAAACACATTGTAGTAAAAGCTCTCTGTTTCCAAGTCTGCCATCATACCAACTCAGTCATAAAGGCATAATGTTACATTATTATCATCAGTTATTTATTGCATTTGATAAGTGAAACATCTTATAGTTGCATGTCCCTATATCGTGTAGTATTTAACCAAACCCAAACTTAATTTGTTGTTCCAAATTTTAACATCCAGTCAAAAATAAATGGCTGTACTCACTTATCGCACCCTATAATACAAATTCTGTACCTGCCACTATAACAATAAACATTACAAAAAAAAATGAAGGAAAGAGGTTGCTGGCAATAATTGGCTGTGGGTCAAAGCCTATTTAAAAAAAGCCACATTAATGGGAGCTCTGTGTAAACATTTGCACTGTAGATGAGATTTAAGGCAGGGAGCTAATGACATCAGCCCCATCTTTATCCT